AGAATGTACGATTGCGAGTTACATGAAAGTAACTAAGCTATAAATAATTGTAATTAATAATAATTGTAAATATTAATTAATACTAAATAATATTATTTAATAAATTAGCCCCAATTCAATGCAGTTTTCTTCCAAGCACAGAAACTTGTAAATATAAGTACAAGATAATAGATAGATCGATAAATAAATAGACAACTTTCAAATATTGCACCAAGTAATGGCGAGAGGAAAAAATCTAGACAGTATACATTACATTTGAAATTAATAATGGATGAATGGTAATAAATTGGTGTATGTATGAGACTTCTGGAGCCGGTCGGCCGAGCGGACAGCACACTGGACTTGTGATCCTGTGGTCCCAGCTTCGATCCCAGGCGCCGGCGAGAAACATTGGGCAGAGTTTCTTTCACCCTATGCTCCTGTTACCTAGCAGTAAAATAGGTACCTGGGTGTTAGTCAGCTGTCACGGGCTGCTTCCTGGGGGTGGTGGCCTGGTCGAGGACCGGGCCGCGGGGACACTAAAAAGCCCCGAAATCATCTTAAGATAACCAAGATACCAGACAAAGTCCATTTATTGGCAGAATTTAGCCATTTTGTGTAAAAACTTTTATATCTCATATTATTAATTATAACAGTAATCGAAAAAAGTCATAGTTTGTATATACAAGAGATGAAACAGAGAGCCATGAGCTAGAGCGATGTGCTGAGTCCATAAGGAGGCCGAGCTTCCAGAAATACCTTCCTGTGATTGGCTGTTGCGGGGAATACCAACACTCTTTTATGAATAAAATTTAAACTAAGAAATAGGTCCTTGTGAACAACAACAAGGTTGTTGTGAAAAAGAACAACAATTTCTGTTTTGCACCTGACAAATCTCCATCTAACTGAATAATTTACTGGAATAAGAGGGTAGAGCAGTGTATCATTATTTGTGTCAAGGCAACCCCCAGTAATAACGTCACAAGTTAGGTAGCCAGGAAAGTGTTTCTGTAACACTCGTTACATCCTGCAGTATTTAATTATCACTATATTAATACTTTTAAATACTTAACATTTCACTTTTTAAGTAGATTAAAGTTGAAGCAAAATGTCATAAGCAAGGATGGTGTGCTGAATAAAGATGATTTATTAAGTGGATGGAGCCTTTAGCTGATCCCTTCCTGTGATTGGCTGTTGTGTGAATGTCAACAAAGAGTTTCTACCAATGATATGCCACCATTTTATTTATTATGCACCTCATACCATCTTGTGGGCGGAGCTTGGAACCTCCTACCCGAGCACAACAACCCGCCTTATGAGTTGCTGTTTGGCTATTTATAGTGTGTTGGAAAAAAACAGATGGCGTTAGTTGTATTTTGTAGGATGATTTGTTATAAGTGTAATTTGATGTCAACAGATGGCATAAGCTGTATCTTATGGCCACTGTTGACTAGCCAGTTGATAGTGTTCTCGTCTGCCGACAGATGGCATCAGCTGTGTTATTATTACTTCCGAATTCCCTTTAAACACTGATCTACAAATCCCTTGGCTTATGATAAGGTTTTATACCGTTTATGATAAGTATTAGATAACTGGAGTTCCGCAATTACTTTTATTTATCAACTGTTCAGGATATCATCATATAACGTCTGGTTAGGACGTACTGCTCTCGATTGATGAAGATTAAGCCACCCAAGAGGTGGCACGGGCATGAATAGCCCGTAAATACTGCTCTTGTAATATTATTCAGGGGGGTGGGGGAACTATCAAGTGAAAGCGCCAAGCCATTACGACTATATAGCACTCGGAAGGGATCAGGATACGGATTTGAGATGGAACGGGGGAAAGGAATGGTGCACAACGTCTTGGGCGGTCGGGGATTGAACGCGGACCTGTAAGGAAACGAGACCGTCGCTCTACCGTCCAGCCCAAGTGGTTAACTAAAAATACTTGGATATATCGAAATTTGGTAGTGAATTCCATCTAGGAATCTCCTATGACTAAACTGTATTTTTAATTATTTTTATTTACTTACTACTTATTATTAAATTATTAAGTACTTACTATAATAATTAAATAAATTATTTTATTTAATATTTAAATTAAACGATAAAATAATAGGTAATAATAAATCATAGTGACTCGAACCCATACTCCCCATACCAGTTGTACATACCAGTTGCGTTGCTTCTGGGAGTATGGGTTCGAGTCACTTCTGGGGTGTGAGTTTTCAGTTGCATATTGTCCTGGGGACCATTCAGGCTTGTTCGCATTTGTGTTCCTCACGTGTGCCCCAAAGAATGAGGTGATTTGGTAAAATGCTATGCCCAAGATAACTATCCGAGTGCCGGCGGTGGGGTGGTTCAAATAGCCTCGGCTATCACCTCATTTTGTCCGGTCGTGATGGTCAAGTGGATTAAGGCGTCTTGTACATACCAGTTGCGTTGCTTCTGGGAGTATGGGTTCGAGTCACTTCTGGGGTGTGAGTTTTCAGTTGCATATTGTCCTGGGGACCATTCAGGCTTGTTCGCATTTGTGTTCCTCACGTGTACCCCAAAGAATGAGGTGATTTGGTAAAATGCTATGCCCAAGATAACTATCCGAGTGCCGGCGGTGGGGTGGTTCAAATAGCCTCGGCTATCACCTCATTTTGTCCGGTCGTGATGGTCAAGTGGATTAAGGCGTCTTGTACATACCAGTTGCGTTGCTTCTGGGAGTATGGGTTCGAGTCACTTCTGGGGTGTGAGTTTTCAGTTGCATATTGTCCTGGGGACCATTCAGGCTTGTTCGCATTTGTGTTCCTCACGTGTGCCCCAAAGAATGAGGTGATTTGGTAAAATGCTATGCCCAAGATAACTATCCGAGTGCCGGCGGTGGGGTGGTTCAAATAGCCTCGGCTATCACCTCATTTTGTCCGGTCGTGATGGTCAAGTGGATTAAGGCGTCTTGTACATACCAGTTGCGTTGCTTCTGGGAGTATGGGTTCGAGTCACTTCTGGGGTGTGAGTTTTCAGTTGCATATTGTCCTGGGGACCATTCAGGCTTGTTCGCATTTGTGTTCCTCACGTGTGCCCCAAAGAATGAGGTGATTTGGTAAAATGCTATGCCCAAGATAACTATCCGAGTGCCGGCGGTGGGGTGGTTCAAATAGCCTCGGCTATCACCTCATTTTGTCCGGTCGTGATGGTCAAGTGGATTAAGGCGTCTTGTACATACCAGTTGCGTTGCTTCTGGGAGTATGGGTTCGAGTCACTTCTGGGGTGTGAGTTTTCAGTTGCATATTGTCCTGGGGACCATTCAGGCTTGTTCGCATATATATATATATATATATATATATATATATATATATATATATATATATATATATATATATATATATATAATGTGTGTGTGTATGTGCAGAAATAATATTAATAAAACAATTAACATCGTGTAGTGTACTCTATGTATCAAAATATATTACTTTGAAACCCATATCATTCACTAAAAAAAAATTGGGCTACTCCTATTACAAATTCGCTACTTTTTGGCCCTCAGCTCGCTACTTTCCGCAATTTAGATCTGGCAACCCTGCTAGCCAGAAGTCCACAGAAAGTCGCTGCAGCCTATCAAAAGTTGCAACTGTTACTTTGCGTGTTGATGCAGTCAACCGGAAGCTCAACACTCAGCCGGAAGTCAATATATAATCAGCCTACATTGTCGTAATCATCCAAAAACCTCACGTGTTCCCCGAAACTCATTCGTGCTGGTTGCCTCTAGTCACTGTTATTAACTGTTCTCTTACGTTTGAATTGTGTAAGCCTGATTGTCAGTCAATGGGAATTTTGAATTTGGATTCAGGTTCACACTATAAATCCTAAATCTCTTATGTATTACTCTCTAAAGCTTGAACGTTTTGTGAGTCATTGAATAAACCTATAAACCTCTTGGAATTTTGTCTTAAACTCCTAAACATATTATGGGGGTTTATATTAAAATCCATAACATCTTGCGAGTTTTATCTTCAATCCTAAAAAATTTGAGTTTTCTGATAAATTTGAACTTTTTGTTTTTGTTTTGTTTTTACAAGTGTGCCTCGGTTCCCACCTGAAGGGTTTCGGGGTTTCATTCCCACGGCAGGACTTTGAGTTTTTTACTTTAAATTTGTCAGTTTAAAAGCAAAGTATCTTTGATGTGTTTTAAGAAACGCTTCATAATGAAGTCAAACGCTTGACTAAAATGTTTCATTGTACAAATTGTCCTTTTGCTCAAGCAAATTTGAAGAAAAACTCAACAGACTGTATGTCAGCCTGTGTTATTATCACACATTAATACATCTATCGATTATTTACATATATACAGATTTTTTAATTTATTAAATATTTTAAATTTTGGATATTTAAAGTTAGTTTAGTTTAGTTCATTTATTATGCACCCCATACCCATCTTGTGGGCGGTAGTGGAAAGGGTTACAGAGGCACATAATGGGCTCAGGGACTGAACCCCACAATTCATTTAGCTAAGCAAGTTACAATCTTGATGAGCTAGTTACAAAATTCAATATAAGTCGTCACATCAACAATGGGTTCGAGATCGACCTCAAGTACAGGTTCTAAATTAAGCAACTGACATATGTGGAGAGCTAGTGTCAAAATTTATATGTTTGTCCTGCACACCGCCCCCCATCCAGTGGGCAGCGGTGGATAGGTTACAATCACTTAGATACTACCTACAGTTAGCAAACTGGGGACATTTGGCTATTTAAACTTCTCGAATTTGTTATATTAGCTGGATTCAAGGGAGACTGTGCAAGCTGAGTTTTCTTTCCAGGGATAACCGATCTAAATACTGCGTTTGAAACTCTTCATTGAAGAATAGAAAAGCAAAAACGTGTATATAATATACAATTATACCATTTAATTTACAACAGTCTACAAAACCTATTGTAATTTATTGTAATTATATAAATAAATAAACTTATGTTTTACCGCGTTTTACTGCATGTGGAGAATTAAATATTTTGCTTTGCTGGGTGCGAGCTTTCGAAGGCGGCGGCCATTAAGAAGCTTGGGAGACTGGAAACAAGTAGTTGAAATTTCCGTTGCCCCCTTTAACTCTACTACCATACCTGGGTGACACGCTTATCTGCTGTGTTTTCCTGTTTACGTGGATGTTGATACAGACAACACCCTACCCTGATTTTTACCCAGTAGCTGGTGAGTTATTCTACAGCAATAATTTAGATTTTGGTAGGAGTCAAATTTCGCGAGCAAGTTTATATCTAAACTTGGTTTATATATATACCACTCGCCTGGTATCAACTTTTTGTTTATTAATGTGAAGAAAAACGTTTATTAATGTGAAGAAAGGTTTGTTTATTCCCATAGTCGGATACAGAAACCAGTTATCCTTAACGAGTCTCCCTTTCGGCAACTAACCTTTCCCAGGTTGCAACTGACATTTTCCTAACTCCAGGATACTGCTAGGTGACAAGTTTTTTTTTTTATTATTATTATTTTCTACCACAGACGTGGCCACACATTTACAATGCTAACCAGCATATATACATTTTCTTCTGTTCTCCATGGACAGGGTTAGAGAAGTGTTAAACATATAGTTCAAGGGTTTATTGAACACTCAACCACAGAAGGTGATTCGGTGCTTTTAAAATGCTAAGCTAACCTACATGCGTAAATACTGGTACATAGATACAGTACACAGATTTACGTATGCCCTACATAAAGTGTTTGATGTGTCTTTTACATAGTGTCATTAATTCAAGTTCAAGTATATTTATTGAGACAAGAAAAAATACATCTCAAAGGGATAGAGTAGCATTAATGTACATTCACACACATATACATACAGTACATATATACACACACACATGCATTCACATACATTTGTCTCATTTACTCTGACAGGGTGAGATAGCTGATAAAGAAACTAGTGTGCAATTAACCACTTAATCACTGAAGGTGATGAAGGTGCTTTTACAAGCTCAGGTTATATAGTTACATCATATATATACAGAAACTTGCATAAAGGTCTCGTCCAGACACGGGAAGAATTAAATCTACAATCTTTTGGTTGTGAGCCGACAGTACTGACCTTTTGGCTACAGGACCCTGTGAATCAAATTTTTGTTTTGCTTTTTATGTATGTAGAGGCTTCAGAGACATATTCCATCTAAACTGCCTAAAGTGTTCCACAACTCCATGGATATGAGTGGTTTATACTAATAAAGAAATTATAGTATTGCTCTTCTTAAAACATTATTAGTTACTGTACATATTTACATGCATATTTTTTGGAATGGAGCTCTAGTGGATCAGATTGGTTTCAGTGAGGATTGGCGAGTCCTCAGATTGCCTGTTTAAGGTTGCGATATTTTAATACTGCATTGATGTCTTGTCTGTCTCTTCTGCATGAGGGTACGTCAATGTGCTACTTTGTGGAAAATGGGGTCAGTCACAAACATTGCCAGCTGTGTGTTAAAGTAAACTTCCTCTACATATTTTTCCATATTGGTGTATGAAAAGTTATTAAATGTGTATCCTTCCTTGATACACAATATATTTAATGTTGCCGAGCCTCGTAGACATCTGTGATCATCTATGCCCTCCTTAGAGTTGTACATTAGACAATTTGCCATTTATCCTTATTATATCATGTACACTTGCGTTATTTTTATAACGTTTCCAACAAATTTTTTAGCTGACTATATTTATTCACCTGGGTGAATTTATTCATTGTTTTTTGCCTCGAGTATTGGGATGCACTAAAGCTTCCATATGATAAAATTGCCAAAGTTCATCAATATTTACCTACAGATGACAAGCTCCTGGCTCTTCCGTTATTGCAACTTCCACATCAGGTGCAACAGCCTAAAAATTGCAAGTACAGGCATCCTCAAATGTTCAACAGGTATAAAATGACCGATTCACCTCGTCACCAAATGCAAGAACAGTTTGGTAAAGAGCAAAGGAAGAATGATGACATTAGAGTCTCCATTCAAGTGGATCGGCCATTTCCAGCTGTTCTTGGGAACAAACACACGAATGTCCATTCAAATAATCTGCCACAATGTCTTCCAAAAGATAGGAGATGTCTGAGAGAAGAGGTATCATCAAAGGTGGGTTATGCATATGCTACTGTATATAAAAAAATAAAGTATGATAGCAATGGAACATGAGCATTTTTCAGCATGCTTGTGCAGGCTGAAAAATTATACAGTACTGTACTGTACTGTAGTTTAAAAAATGTTTTATCGCCATATTGTACTGAATACAGTATTCTTGGGGTGTTAATTAATGGATGCGGGTTTGTTGCCATTATTCAGGCTCATTGTTTACTCTGTTTTCATAAGTTAACTTGATTAATGCAAGTGCTAATGGTTTCTAATTGGGGGAATGCACTAAATTTGTTGAAGGTTCTTAACATTTTGAATTATTTTTCTTTTATTATTGACATTGATTTACTGTATACTGTACACAGAGAAAATTACATTGAGATATATCGATGAACAAATCCACAGGAGCCGTGATAAGGGTTTGAACCTATGGGCTGGGTGTTACCAGAGATAATGTGATTTTTCTGTGTATTGATTTATATTAATTAAATCTTTATTATAGGAATATGTTGATACAACATTGTAAATGTTTTATAGTGAAATTATTAATGAAAACAATACAGTAATTGATAAATCTGTCTTATTAAGTAGTTTTACATAATAAACAATTACTTAATCCAATATATAACTGCTATAATTTATCTATTGTATGAATTCAATATCTTTATAATAATTCTAGAGACCAAAAATGGATGGAATTGAGGTGGTTGAAAAGATCGGGTGTGGGAGCTATGGGTCCATATGGTTAGTCAAGCAGTCTTGTAACCAAAAGTGCTTAGTTCTTAAGTGTGTAAGTATGAGACTTGTTGTCCTTAAGTGAACTGTAATACAAAAGTCTAAGCAGTTAAAGATTTTTTCTTAAAATCTTTTTTTTTTTTTTTTATTTAAATGTACAGTAATTTTGTTGATAATTAGTTGTACATATATATATAATATATATATAATTAATTCTTTGTCAGGGGACAGGAAGCCAGTGTGTTTTCATACATGTTAGCCCCCCATTTCATACATTGAGCCCCCCCCCCACCCAAGGTCAAATTACTGACCCTGCCAAGGATGCAACCCCACAATAAGCTGACTAACTCTGCTTACCTACTGACTGCTAGATGAACAGAGGCATTAGGTGAAAGGAAATGTGCCCAACCATTTCTGTCCCGCCTGGGATGGGAATCCAGAATCTCGGGAGTGTGTCGAGAACGAGCCCAGGCGTACTACCGAGACCCCTCAATATACTATGAGAACCCGACTGTACTACCGGGATCCATTTAATTCACTGTGTTGGAGGACAGGAAGTCAGTGTTCATACATGTTTGGCTTTTACCGAGGTTCCCCCATCCCCCCCCCCCCAAGGCTGAATTACAAGCCCTGCCCAGGATGCAACCCCCACAACAAGCTGACTAACTCTTGATTACGGTACATGTACATACTCACTGCTAGGTGAACAGAGGCATTTAGTGAAAGGAAATGTACCCAACCATTTCTAAACCCTCCTCCCGGGATTTGAACCCAGAATTCTCGATCCCTATATGCAGTGGTACCTCCGTTTTAGAATTTAATCCATTCCCAGAGACAGTTCGAAAACCAAAAATTCAAAAACTGAAAATAATGTGAATTGAATTAATCTGTTCCACATCCCAAAAAATATTAACTTAAAAATACATTTTATACATACTACTACAGTACTGTACTTGTACATTCTGTAGTTTAAAATATAAGTATATCTTACCTTTTGGCTGTGGCCTTCTAGATTCTTTATCATTTTCTTATTTACCCAAGGGGCCACCATCTCTAGTGACCTTGATGAGGACAGGAAGCCAGCAGCTTGTCTAAAGTCCCCTCCCCCCATTAATCCTGAGGATTATTCTCTGTTGAATATTGAACTGGAGTACTTGCTGTCTTGGCATTTACGGCTTCAGCGGGTAGATCATTCCACAAGTTTATTACCCTATAGGTGAAACAGTATATCCTGTTGTTTGTCATACATTGTGGCTTGTTGAGCTTGAAGCTATTGCCCCTTATGTGAGATGTTTTGGATCTTTTTAAGGTAGTCATTACAATGTTTGATGTGATTTTTGTATTTCCAGGATAATAGACCTGTAATTTTTTTTTTCCCCAACTGTTCATTGATTACAAGCATTCTGCAGTGCTTCTCTTTGGTTCACCCACTGTCTGCATTTTCTTTCAGTTCATTCCATTATTTAGGCAAGATGTTGCACAACTTGAAATGTTCAAAGCTTATGGTATAATTATAGAGGAGCATGTAGTTTGGAATGAGAGAGAGCATGCATGGAAAGAGTTAAATTGACTGCATTGTCCATTTCAGGTGGAATTGTCTCGTTGTAACCAGCAGGAAGTGGAAAATGCCCGACAAGAAGTTGTTATCCTGGAAGGTCTTAGGCACCCCAACATTGTCTCCTACAAGGTACTATTCTGTTAATGTTGTGGAAAGTGCACAAAAGATGTACAAAATTTAACAAACAAAGTGCATTCTTCCTTGGAATTCCAGGGGTCATTTGAACTGGATCATCGGCTTCACCTTTTGATGGGATATTGCGAGGGAGGTGATCTGTTCACTCGTATCCAACAGCAAAATGGATCATCGTTTCCTGAACAGATAATTATCCGTTGGTTCATCCAGATCACTATGGCACTGCAGGCAAGTGTTAGAGGAAGCATAAGTATGACGTCTACATTATCAATATTCTACTTTTGATCTAATGTGATAATTTCTCGGCTGAAATTTATGCGAGTTGGTTTCTCTTCCTCAGTACCTCCATGCACACAACATTCTCCACAGAGATCTTAAATCTCAGAATGTCTTCCTCACACGGTCAGGACTTATTAAATTGGGTGATTTTGGTGTTGCACGCATTCTTGGTTCAACCACTGATATGGCATCAACAATGATTGGAACTCCTTCCTACATGGTAAGTTACTTGATGTGTGTGTGTGTTTTTTTTATATAAACAATATTTTGCAATTAGTAATAATATTTATTATTTATTCTACATCTTGTGTTGAAGCCATTGCTGATTGTTATTTGACCATTGTCAAATGGTTAAATGTTGTTATTTGACCATTGTCAAATGGTTAAATGTTGTTATTTGACCATTGTCAAATGGTTAAATGTTGTTATTTGACCATTGTCAAATGGTTAAATGTTGTTATTTGACCATTGTCAAATGGTTAAATGTTGTTATTTGACCATTGTCAAATAACATTAATGTTATTGTCATTAAATTATTTGACATTTTTTTGGGCGCAGAGTGCGCCCAAAAAAAAGGGTGCACAGCGCAGTGCAGTGCTATAATATTTTTAGAGGCAGACTTCGATTTGAACAGGGGGGGTGGGGAGGGGAAAGAGTTCCTGCTTAAAATGCTAGGAAATCAAACAATCCTTTCACTGCAACACCTCCATTTTAGCCACATACTATACTCTCCTCGTGTCAATTTAGTCTTGGCACTAAATTAGTATTTTTGCAATTTTCTTTACTACAGTGGTACTGGTAAGAAAATGACCTGCTCTTTCCAGTGGCATTATTAAAACAAAAAATTATGGTGAAAAACATAGAAATGTAAGTATGTTGGACATGTCTGAGTCCATTATCATTTTAATTATTAGTAACCTTGGGAAAATACAGTTAAATTTTTCCTTTAACATTCCTTTCCTTTTGAAAACAGTACTTGGGGCATCAAAGAACCTGAAGACTAGGGGGGGCTACAAAATCTTAATCTGGTCCCGAATTTATTCTTTTCCGAGGCTTTCCTACATTTGCGAGGATATAGCCCCACCAACAATTAAGTGAAGTTAGAAGAAAATCGAGAATTATCTGCCTCATCTACTGATGGTGCAATCTTTGGATTTCATTTAATCCAAAAGTACAATTGTACATCTTTAAAAATTCATAATTTTATTAATAATTAGTATAGTTTCCAACAAGGATACTAAACTTCATTTATTATTTTTTTATTTTTAGAGTCCAGAACTACTTGCAGGTCTTCCTTATGACTACAAATCAGATATATGGGCCTTGGGATGTTTACTTCATGAATTGGCAACGTTGAAGCATCCTTTTCCTGCCCGTAACATGTCCTCTCTGATGTACAAGATATACAGTGGCAAGGTAAACTATACAGTTCAGAAAGGGCTATTAATGGTGACAAGTCTTGCAAAGTACAGTAGTGTTACACTACATTCATATGTTGTCAGTACTAATTTAATAGCTTTGATTTCATATTGTTAATAGTAAAATGGTGCATGGTATACACTTGATTACTCATTCACATTATGTATATTGAATAAATATTTTGGGTTAACCCAAGCCACACATGTGAAAAGAAAGGAACCGAGAAATAGAGGAAGGGAGCAATTATGTGGCCAGAGTTGTGAGGTGGCAGGAGAGTCTTGGTATGGGTCCAGGTCGGGCCAAAACATTGTTGCTTTCCTTTCTTTACACATGTACAGTATGGTGTGGTTATTTTTGGCAAGTAATTATTTTAAGCCCATTATAACTTTTTGGTAAATAGAATATTTAAATGTCACAGTAACTAAATGGAGGATGGGAAGTGTTAATGGATTAAACATTTTGCTAGTGACTACTGGAGTCAAATTCTATTTGGATTGTGTGTATAGTACACCATTTATTGACTGTGTTGTATTACTTTCATGTCTATAGTCTTTTATAGTATGCAAAATTTTCTCAGATCTTTCTTTAACTATGCTATTATTCTTCTCACACTCTTGTTGTTATTGTCATGCTGTTGCTGTTATTAATCTCCCTCACTGTTATTTGTCTACCGTAGCCTCTTGCAGTAATGTATGTGATTTTCATTTCATTTCTTGTTTTCATTCTACTCATTATGCTCAATTAGTATTAAGCTTGTCATTTAAGTTTATCATGCCCGAAACGCTTTGCGTAATAGTGGCTTTAGGCATTGTATGTACTAGCTCTACCTATAAGTCAACCAATCTTTGTAAAAATCTATTGTATGTATGTACCTTACCTAAATAAACATTTTATTTTATTTTATTTTATTTATTTACATCACCACCTCATCTTGGTGTCAGTCTGTCCTCTCTTTAAGACTAGGATATTATTCCCTCAGTTTCTCGGTAAACCAATTTTTTTTTTCTCTTTTTCCTGCTAACATCTTTGCTATTTCATATATTTTACTAGTTACCTCTGTCTGGTACAGATTCATAATTGTTTTTATCACGTTTATTTATGGTATCGGTATTTATATTTGTATGGGGTTCCCGTGTGATGCCTTGAGTGCCTCTTCATACCTATATTAACCTATAATTCCAATTTACATTTATATACATAAGCTGCTTCTTAGTTTTTATCTAGTTTTGATGATTTATTTCACCCACTACATAGTGTAAAGGTACCTGTACAATACTGTACTTGGGTTTAAACATGAATTATTTTAAATATTTAAATTTGTTGTTGATCGTGAATTTTATTCAGTGATTTGGGGAAAAAAAATCTTAAATATTTTTTAACTTTTGTATGATAGCCATATTTTAGCTCTCAAATGATAGCATAAAAGTTCTATACAGAGAGAAATAATAGTTAGCAGATTTGACATTGTCCCTTAGGATAAGGCTAGGTGTTTGCCCAGTCCCTGTGACTGTGTAAACTTGCCCTGCAATTTATTTCATTGGTCGACATGGGCAGTAGGTGTATTGAGTTGGCAGTTTTGTGTTTGTCTTGAAGATGGTAGGACATGCCCAAGTACTGTACAATGTAAGCTAACTGTTGGTGCACTGTGCAGCAATATTATATTGTATCCAATAATGCCATACATTATAAGGGTGCAGATTCTCAAAATTCCATATAATAGCCTCAATAATGCCTGTAATGACAATTCTTCTTATAAACACAATCTCTTGTTTAACCCCTGTTTCTTATGACCAAATGTATAAATAAATTTTTTATAGTATTTACATCTCGATATGTGGGGTTAGTTCTGTATCTCGTAGATCACATGGTGTATATTAATAAAATTACAAAGTAATATTTGGCACATGTACAGTATTGGGAGACCAAGTGTGATCTAACATTCTGTAGCCTATTGAACATGATTGATTTGTTTGTTGCCGCCGGAGGCGGCTACTTTATTGTGCACCCGATACTCATCCTGTGAGCGGTAGCACAAAACATTACAGATGGCACAAAAGGTCTTTATCAGACCTCATCTTAGATTATTAGCAGTCATCCTATAGGTGAGGCAATTGTAGACGTGTCAAAAGTTGTAAACAAGACGTTTTTGTCTGGATGAATCTCGGTGCAAGGCTTGGCTCTATTCTATGTAGAGTAGTCTCATGACCGTATTTCTAGCTGGTTATGATGCCGTTCGGACAATAGTATCTGAGCCAGTGGCCTGTACTGGGTCACATCACTGTTGTCATTACTGTATTACAAAAGATGGTTATGACATAATTTGCACAAATGTTTGTACAGGTATTGCTTGTTGAGCCACTTCTTTTGCTCTATATTTATCACCAAAAATATATACTTTATTATTTAGATTTTTTTTCTAGGTGGATGATATACCTGACCACTACAGTGAGGATTTGCAGTGCTTAGTGCAGTGTGTTTTGAACCGTAGGTCGGAGCTCAGACCAAGCACGTCGTGTATCCTTCAACAACCGTTCATTCGCAGTCACATCTTGGTCTTCCTCAATGATACAACCAACTCTGCAAGTGCCAAAAGCAAAGTTAAAGAACGAAATGCTATTTCAGAAAATAAAAAGATAATACAAAATAAGCAGAGAGAAAAGTGTGTGACTAGGCTGGAAAGTGAAACGGATTATGGCCACTATTCCAACAGAAATGAACCTGGCATTAAGCAGGAGAATGTATGTGGTAATGAAAAGCAGTGTGTGTCAGTAAAGTATAACTGTGATTTAATTGCTAAGAGGCATAAGTTTCTTCCTACCCAGTTTGATTCATTACATATTTCAGAAGACAAGACAGATAGAACAAAAGTTGAGACTAAACAAAGTGTATTGAAAGAATTAAAATGTAAACAGCAAAAAGAACATAATCCAGCAGCTGCTGGCCACATTGATTCTCAATCACGACAACGATGGCGCAGTATCAAGAAGTCAGTAGTTGAGAGCAGCAGTGATCATGATGAAAATGGTTTATATATTAGCCCAAAAGTTTTATGTTCCAAGAAGTCTGGAGTAAATGACAATAGATTAGTCACACATTCACTCTCGGCTCGTGAACGGAGGAGACAAAAGAGACTTGAAGGAATTGAAATGGAAAAGTCTGAAACTCAGCTGAAACAGTCAAAGAATAGTCAGGAATTTGTTGAAGAAAATATATCTACATATGACTTCGAGCCATCACATGGCATTACATTTATCGTTAAATCTGCAGAAGATGAGGAGTTTTTTAATTTACTGAGCACGACGCTCAGTGAAGACACCTTGCATACAATTAATGAAACTGATGCCAATGATGTTGCTGTATCACTTGGAAAGGAGAGTGATGGGCTGGAGGCAAGGCTGTGTGAACTTACTAAAGCTCTTGGTAATGAAATAGGGGAGGTGAGTGGTTAATAATTACTACCTTACTCTTTATTCAATTTTATCACAACTTGTGAATATAATAAATTACGTTGTCCATAAATGCACTCTTCCATGTGTCCATCTTCCCATCTCTGTATTAGTCCGCAGGTAGCTCTCTGATGTGTGTGGTTCACCCATAGTCACTGAAACAGGAAGCTTGCTAGTCTATCTAGGTCCCCCTAGACCAGCTTCTGATGACCTTACTCTAGATGCAACCCACAGTAGTTGCTTAACTTCCATGTACCTGTTTACTTGTAGGTGAAAGGAAATGTGCCATACCATTTGTCTCGCCTGTAGATTGAACCTGGAATTCTTGGTTGTGAACAAACAGTATAGACCATTGCATTACTGAACCATATATGAATGGTTTATAATTTCTGACCTTTAAAATACACAATCTTTATTTTGATTCCTTTCTAAATATTCCACCCATGTTATGATTGGTGTTAGATAAATATTAACAGATTTCACATGGCTAATCTGCAAAGCCATGTTTAGAATAACAGAAACCATGTACCTTACTTCAGGATTCGGCTGACTTGGTGACCAACCTCCTGAAGCTAGGTGCATGGGAGGTGTGGGAGGAGCAGCGGCAGGCAGTGAAGGCGCTGCTCGGGAATGACGTCTTCAGCTCTGTGGCTAACATTGTCTCCAACCTCAAGCTTTGCTACACCTTTAGGCACAGATGAAGGAAGGTACCCATGAACCCTTGTTGACTTGATGAACCATAAAGAAAGAACAGGATGTGGACTCAAGGGGTTTAGAAGCTTCCAAAACTGTATTTCAAGATAAGCATTCAACCTCAATATAGTGCAAATTTTTTAATATAGTTTAGAATTAAATTAATACCAAAGATTAATTCCTAAATTGTTTTCCTTTAATATCTTATTTCATAATAGCTAGCCAGTTATAGTTAGTACTGAACATAGGTTATAAATATTAAATAATCTACATGTATATCCATATTAGCAAATTATATTACAATTATGGCAAGATGAAATGGGGACATGGACACTGTTAAAACCATTTTTCCTTTTCTAATTTTCCTTGGTGCTACACAGTCGTCCTTTGAGTCTTCTTTTGATAATTACTTTACCCTGCAGTCATTAGAGTCAATAATCTCCTGTGAATCTGCCTCCTTTGACCTTGCTGCTCTTTGTGCTTTCTTATTCATATCCTAAATGATGTCTAAGACCTTTTTATTAATTTGTTTAACATTCTGGAGCACTATATAGCTTAGTGCATTCTATTGCTAACTATTTAGCATAGATGACACTTGTTAAACTTGATAAATTATTATGCCAAAGACCTGCAACAATGCCTGCTTTCCACATTAAAATGTATACTGTAATATGCTGGTGGATTATATTTGAAAGTTGTAACAATGGCTGCACCTCTTGAGGGACTTAACTTTAAAACTTTAGGTTGTTGGCCTTAGTATTTTGTAATGGTTTCTTGACATCGTTGTAGCTATTAAACACTTCAGTTTACCAAGTGCATCTTCAAAGACAGTGCAGATGTCATTGGCTTTTATGAATCTACTCTGTGTATTCTGTTGATAATTACTTCTTGCCAAATCTCTAATCCCTTCCTTGGACTTTACAAGAGAGAAAAATTTATCAGTCTTCAGTGCACACAATAGTGTGCAGTGCTACATTTCATGACACTTTTTTAAAAAGTTTAGGTATTTTCATCATACATGTAAACACTCCTAAACACAAATATGCAGGTGATGTCATCTCGCCTTTAATTGGGACATGTGTAAATCATTTAACTTCAGAGCAAAGTGATGGAGCTTTATTTTAAGATTTGAATTACTGTTGACTTCCACTGTGAAATGCTTTAGATGTAAGTATATTCAGGGACCAGATACAGGTGTGATATAGCAGTAGCTAAAATGGTTATAAATTATCATACTGTATACATTTTAATATTTGTTGTAAATTAATAGAATTGTTTTATTAGTTCTCATTTTAATCAATAAAATGTTTACATTTTTATATACAGTATTTTATTTGTGTCTTTTTAATGTCATCTCTCCTTTGGCTGCCAGGAAATTATTCCCAGGATCAGTTTGCATTATCTTTGACCTGTAGTATTCTGCTGGCAGATTTGTGTAAATGACATTGGCCAAAACAGACTAAAGTTGCCTTGAAACTACACCTGCCTTAACAGTAAGACTGTGTACAGCACTGCCAGACTGGTAAGTAGTCTCACACTTTTTAACCAGCTATATTTAAATGGGTGCAATTATTTGCATTGTTGTATAGACAACCTATTCAATTTGTATACTGTACTTTGAAAGATTGCCAAGTTACTCTGAGAAGTAACTTCTGTACCACTTGTACAGAAGAGATAGGTATATATGTTGTGGTGTAGCAATCTATGTGTACACAACTCTTTGCCAAGCATCCATTCTAATCAAGCGAAGATAGGATAAAAATTACCATGGCATACAGTAAAATTTTATGTATTTACATACATTTCAAATGCCTTTTATATGGTGAAATATATATACAATATGCTTTTAAGGGGCTCAACACTAAGAAAAAGTATTTTAACAAAATATCAAATGTACAATATTTACAATTATCTCCAGAAAGTTCAGACAAAAATTAAATTCATTTTCATTAATGTACAGAAGATGAGCAAAGATACAGATCTATTGGAGAATATTGCCTGAATCTTGTTATTGTATAATAATTTCAAGAATGATAGTTACTTAAACATTCCTCTTGCCAGGCAGACTTGGAACCTAAGAGTTGCAGATTATGCACAGTGCTGGAGATTTATACATGCAGCTCAACAGTATGTAGCGAGCACTGGCACTCTTAGAGTATTGTATCTAGGAAGCCCCAGAGTACATGCACTGTTGGGGTACATGTGGGACTTCAGAGCTCGGATGCAGGTGAAGCACGGATACAGCTCGTCATTGCTTAATATAATTAAATTAAGATAAGTTATCATGCATAGTTACATATGAAAGTTTTTGCAACTCCTTACATGGGAAGGAAATTACAATATGATCAAAAAACTTTAAATTGCTTGAACACAATTTTTTATTAAATTGTACAAATTTGATAACTGAGAATATTTACTCGAAGTCGCTTGACACTTGTGAATGATTTAATAGTAATAAAAATTACTATTTTCTAACCATCAGTAATAGTTTAATTGGCACTTTTGCAATTAGTGTAATACATTGGAAATAAATCTCAAATTTGCTAGACACCATCATTAATCTTTAGTAAATGCTCGGTGTACTAATACTGTACACCAGTGTATCTTAACAGAGTAGCCAGCAATGATTACAAGACTAAACTGAATATAACTATATAAATTATTTATACCTCAATAATATTTTCATAGTACTCATGAGTTGAAATGTTGATTCCTGGCTAACCAAAATTCAGACACTGTGCAGTACCAAAACATCTCAATACACCAAGTGGTATAAATTATTATTTTTCTAATCTGTAAATTTTACCTTTGTGCAACCCATCCCAAAGAAGCAGTACCCTTATATTCTTGAGACTTCACCTGAAAATAAAATATGAGGCATTAGGTGTATACTCTATATCGAATACATTTCATTTTGTACAAAAAACGTGTTTCTATAAAGTATGCCTGTCTTCAAAATGACCTATCACTGAATAATATGTTCAATTGCATCTATTTAAAGGACTGCCTAATACATTATTACCATTTCCAACTTTCAGGGGGTTGGGGGAGTCATCATTCAAGAAAAAATAGTGAAGGTCTAAAAAAAAATATTGAATGTAATGAATAATCTCTCTGGTAGAGGGCCTGGTGGCTCCCTAAAACTCTCTCACTTGGAGTACTGCATCTAATGGGGTCACAGGAGTTCTAATTGGCCCACTGGGGACCAGAAGCTGGCCCCCCTCAGGGGCATGAAGCATGAGTGACAATTTGCAATTCCACTGGAAAAGCATCCAGAAAGTCAGTGAAGCTATACATACAACTGTGGGGGGGGTGTTAACATAAAATTGTCTGAAACATTCTAAAGAATTCTGCAAATGATTCAAAACAAAACAATATTGATTCCCCTCGAAACTAGCTTGAATTTGTCAGTATTTATAGCTATCACCAGGTGGCCCAGTCCACAACCAGCTGCTTCCCTGGGCAGTTCTGGAGCAGTTCTTGAAAGAAGTATTGCATTACATTCACTGCTCAGTTTTCAGGAAAACACCCCCAGTGGCTCCCTAAAGCTAACCAATCATGGGGAAGTAAAACATGGGATTTAGGAGGAGTGGTGACAGTAAGATGGAGAGAAGCCAGGCTGGGAGACATGGCCGAAAGCAATGACCGATTGGGTCTAGGAATGTTAATCAAATACCAGGCTGTTGGAGTCATGTTAGAATGCCAAAACCCTGAGAACGAATATCAGCCCAGGACATGTGGAAAAACACTGCCACCAAAGCTGCCTACAGTACTTGCAAACATTGTAGGCCTGAAGGTAGACTTAACCTTTGGCCTGTGCCACTGTTTATACCATGCCTAGTATAACAAAAAATAAACAAACTACAAGTGGACAAGTCCACAAGTCCACATAAGCACCATAACTGACCCAACTCGGTACCGATAGCTGCCGCTATGAGGCCCAAACTTTGTGGTTTGAGCTAGTTTTAAGAACCAATTGTTTTGTCAGTCATTTGCAGAGCTACATGGCAGTTTCGAGGTTTTGTTTTCCATGAATCTTTCAGTTGTCTGTAAAGCTTTGCTGGCTTTTCAAATGCTTTACTGGGGGTGGCGGCTTGTCACTCGCTCCCTGCACCTCTGTGAGGGAGACCAGGTTCTGGCTCTGGTCCCTGATATCCAAAAAACTGAACTCCTGTGACTGATGTAACCCATTAGTTTGGAGCCATTTCAGCAAGATGGATTCAGGAAACCACTATGGGACTCCTCCAGAAAAATTGAATATATAATACAGTACACTGCTTACTCATTCCGCCTGATAAAATTTCATCTCAAGCCCGAAACTCTGACTGCTACCCTTGTGTCATGATAACTTCCCATATTTGTCATAACTAATCAACATTCATATCAACCTGTGAAATAAAACTAGGTCAAACTTACTATGATTTTGTATGGAACTTTCATGGATGGAACAAAATTAAGAACTTATCATATCTGTGATAAAGTTTTCAGTCTATTGAGACACTTACCTATTGTGTTGCCATCAGTAAGGAACACCAGCATCTGTCTGGATCCCACACGGCGGATAGGAGGAAGCTGCTCCTGCTCCGACACCCTAATTCGGCACTCTCTAGGCGACCCCCCAACAGCTCCCTCAACCTCTTCATTGTCACTAATGTGATTAGCATCAATGGGGAATTCTTCTTCCGATGATTCAAAAGTAAGGTCCTCGGGAAGTTCATCAGAGAGAGAAAGTCTGAGGGAGCGTCGGGAGGTAGTGGTGGAGTGACGACTCTGAGGCGTTTCTGGAGGGAGGGTCACTGTCCGGAAACTCACCTCCTGATCACCTGCAATATAAAATTATGCTTTAACAATTGTACTGGTGATATGCTGATACAGTATAGCTTTTTCACATGGAGATTCCTCAGTTGTACACTCACCTGAATACAGTACCATGCACATTAACATGTAAAATCTGTTAAAGTAAGAATTAATTATCCTGAATGAATAAACTAAAGAATAAGTACAGTGTACTGTATATAGTATATTATTGAATAAAATGTATGCAGTGTAAACAAATATTTTAAAACATTCTATATGGCAGAAATTTTTAAGTTGGAATTAAACTTATTTCAAATCAGGTATTGCTTTTAAGAACCTTTTCAGAATTTAAAATTAAATTACAGTACATTGACAAGCATTTTGCTACTTTAAACCCTAGCAAAGTTTGTATTTTTACATATAATTAATGGGTCAGTCAAGTTCACTATGGTAGCAGAAAATTTAACCAATAAATACAGGAAGGTTTTGTCGTCTCGTAATGTACTGTTACTTTTATACAAAACACAGTGATGAGCATAGCAATAGTTCTTAGGTCTAGTCTTCATAATAAAGTATGAACATCAAGGTTATGTCCTAGGTCAACAATATATATCGAGCTTCTGTTTTACTGACGCAACACAGCAAATCTCTGGCACTTTCATGTATGATCAAACAAACCATCTCAAGATGCACCTATTACAAAAAAATAATTTCAAGTCCTGGTAACTGTATTTTAGTCGCTATATGCATTTTGCTAACAATACCTTTGCATTACCTACATAACCATGTGTTGCCAGCAGTGCTGGTTATTTCCGGGCCCCTGGAGGAAGCAGCGACCCGAGAGAGACACCTCGAGCAATAGCTAGAGGATGTGGCTGAGGTGGCCCAAGAACTTTACCCACAATTGGGCCATTGGCATGATGGAGGCGTAAAGTGTTCCCAACCACTGCATGAGGATCCGGTCGGGAGAAGGCGCACCAAGACCCGTTGAAGTCACACCAGAAGTAGCCATGTGGTAGATCATACGGTGAGATGCCCGAAGGTTGCACCAAAAGTTTCAAGAGGTAATGCCATAGGAGCCAGAAGTAAAAGATCACACCAACAGGATGCAGAAATGCAGGGATGAGAGAACACATGCAAAATGTGATTACTTAGAGGAAAACAAAACAAACATTTACAAAATAGGAGAATAAGGTACTTGAAGCACAGTAAGTACTCTATTTTGAAGAGTCAGAAATTGTAAAGAAATTTTTTTAAATTATGTTATATGATGGCAATTATTAATATTGCTTCAATATTTATAGATTCATAAGACTAATTCTTGTAATATAAAATGACAAAGTTCTGACATACAATATCAATATAAAGACAAGAATTAAAATATTTACAATTCACATTGTACTAGTTAGTTACTTCTGGATCTGTTTAATTACTTCAGGTAAAGTTCATGCAGATATCCACTTAAATACTAATCTACCAAAGCAGTTAAGCTGATGCTACTTACTGAAGTGTATGGTAAAGTACTACTTATGGCACCTGAAGTGTTTCTCTGTACAGTATTATGCTATATGTGATTGTTTACTGATAACATTTAGTTTAGACATAACTTTCTGAAGACACTACTGGGTTGATTGAGTAGGACATGTCTTGCTCTTCCCTGGTCAGGACTACAGTAAGTATCGTCATGTAGGGCAACATTTTGCCCCAGCACAGCTGAGATCCTTTAATACTTTAAGAGCCTAATGGGGACAGGAAGCCTATTAGGCCAGTGACTGACTTTTCCCCAGGATGCATACTACAACAGTTACTCAACTCCTGGTAGATCTATTTAACCAAGTGAACAGAAGCATCAGATGTAAGGAAATGTGCCAACGCATCTCTACCTACCCAGGAATTGAACGTGGGGACAAGTTGTGTACAGAGTTGCACTGACAACTGGACTGCAGATCATCTTTTGGTTGTTGAAAATTGTAAAGACAGGCTAGTGTTGCAGAGTGTACAGCAGATCACAGTAAAATTGACATGTGGTGAATCAGTTTTAAATATTTTGTAATATAAGATGTTAATAGTGGTGCAAAAGCTCAGGTAGAAGTCTATGTAGCAAATACAGTGAAAAACAAGGTGTTCTAATAATGCAGAACAAAGCACTTATCCCAGTTCATGATAGTGTACTGTATATGTACCTGCCCGAAACGCTGCGTGTACTAGTGGCTTTACAAAAATGTAAACACATCATGCTCTCACAAGAAAATGTACCTTATACATTGCATTTATAAAATATATACAAGAAGGTACAATGTACCTTCTTGTATATATATATATATAAATAAATAAATTTAAGGCGAGACTTCTGCAAGAAGAATGAGGGGGGATTCCTCCAATGCATGCAAGAAGAATTGCAATATTGTATACGAGCCCCACTACTGCTATTGTAATAACAGATGCTCTACCGAACTTGTAATATACGTATTAACACTTGGTCCGTCATACGAGGACCTAAGCCATTAATCACTATATACTGAGAACAGCATAGGCAACTTAAGGGACTATGGGTGACATCTGTTCCTTACGCCTGGCCCGGTAGGATATTATACAATCTACAAGTCCTACGGTTCTCTCTGGTCTCCTGTCCACTAAATTCAGGATGGTGGCAGCATTATTTGGCAAGTCATACAAAGGTTGTACTGTAGCAACTAATATTTCTATCTCGCTCTCTCTCCCTCACACACTACCCCTTTAAGTTGCCTACACAGTTCTCGGTCTATAATGATTAATGGCTTGGGTCCTCATATGACGGACCGAGTGTTAATACGTACATTACAAGATCAGTAGAACATCTGTTATTGCAGTAGTGGGGCTCTTATCCAACATTACAGAATGAGGGGTTCCTCAGATCCATGCAAGAAGAATGGGGGTTCCTCAGATACATGCAAGAAGAATGGGGGGTTCCTCAGATCCATGCAAGAAGAATGAGGGGGTTCCTCAGATCCATGCAAGAAGAATGGGGGGTTCCTCAGATCCATGCAAGAAGAATGGGGGGTTTATCAGATCCATGCAAGAAGAATGGGGAGTTTCCAAGATACATTTATTATGGGAATGTAAAATGTTAGTGGTAGTCTGTGTAGCATCCCTTGAAGCTTACAACTGCTACTTGAATACTTTCCTAAATTATTAATGTAAAGTTCACTACATGATACAATAGTAACTAAGATAAAGGTATTTGTAGTAGTGGTATTATGATTGTTTTGACAATATGTATCAACAGTCAAATTGTAAGTTAGATGTGATTCAGTTTACATCTAAAATTGTAAGTTTGATTTACACTGATGTAAACTCATTCAGTTCAGCCATTATTTTAATGTGTAAGTTGTTATAAATAAAGTTTCCAATTCTAATATACCTTTGTCTTAATATAACCATTAAAAATATGCTCCAGGTCCCATCATGCTGAATCACTAAATGCAAGAGATACTGTGTGAAACAGAACATTTAATTGAACAGAAATAGTATTTCATTCTATAATACATCAATACATAAAGCAGACTTACCCACAAACTGTCGGCCAGGCATCCCTGCATTTATTTCCATTCCTGGAGGCCTTGGCATGTTTTCTGCCATCTTCTGTGTGTGAGCATTGAGCGAAGCATTGTACAGTGATGTGGCAGCTGTGTAGTGAGATCTCATTTCTAAATCTTTCACATCCCTGCTTAGCTGACTGTATAAATACATCTTCCGGGCATAGAGGAACAGCATCACCGCAGTGGCAGACACCAGATTCCCTATGACAATAGATGGGTCCCGAAAGTGGACGGGCGCCTGCGTAGCAACAACTGTCCATACGCACCAAGTAATGGTTGTGGAAAGCGAAGCTAACAGTATCCAACGTGTCTCTCGCGAGTTTTCATCTGCATGCCAAGTTTCAAGACAGAAAAAAATTGTAGCTGCAATAAGAACCATCACGTACACTAGCGAGATCACTAATTCAACTTCAAACTGGTCAGTAGGTGTACACCTCCAGGTTGCTCCTAACAAATCAATGCCAGGAGGATATAGGATAAGCCAAGCAGCACCAAGGATAACTTGTACTAAAAATAAGGCCAAGGTTAACAGTAGGAGTCCACCAGGTTTGGCCAGAACATCTGGGTCACCATTAGCCCGGCTGTAGGTCATCACCCGCCATGTGTGGATGACCTTGACTAGCATAGCAGCAAATATAATGGCATATGCCACACCCATGAGGAACCTCCTGACAGCACATGTGCCAACTGTTGGCTGAAAGATAAAAGCAAAATTGACTGCATACAGCATAAGGCAGCCAATGAGTATCAAGTACCCCAACACCGATGTACCAGCTGCTGTGGGGAAAGACATCATGAAATACACCATTGTTATCAGGATAACAACTATTCCAAGGAGACTGATTGTCCCTGTGGCAATGCCATAGACATTATAAAAGTTGGTATCAATGGGAAGTGGTTTTGGAAGAGCCATAGCTGCATAAACTGTCGACTGTGAGGAACATACTTCAAGGCACACTCCTTCTCTGCAGTATGAATCGGGAGCAAAGGTTCCAATTTTAAATTCTATACTTGGTTTTTCTATATGTAATTTACTGTTCTCCCACTTTCCAACACTTACATACCCATATTCTCTACCTAATTTTCTATAGTTCCAGATATGATATCCATATGCATCAGCTTGGTCATAAGAATCTAAATTACTTGTATTATTCAAGGTTAATTCACTTTGTTGCAGAATTTCTAACAAAAGTTCTGCTTGCACCACATTACAATCGTCAATTGTTTGAGCGTCTACACATTGTTTTGTGATATAAGCATCTAATCCATGAGCTATAGCATTTATACTTAAAATTGTGTGGAACACATAAGGATCTTGAACAATATCATCTGCATGAACTGTCTCAGAACCCAAGCATTCTGAAACATACTGCCTCTGGACTCTCTCACTAGATGACAATCTACACTCAAATTTGTTCTGGAAATATTCTTCAAACCATTCATCAGGGAATGGTTCATGTTTCTGTAGTGTCAAGTTTGAAACATATGCCCTAAAATCTGGAAGATCATAAGTTTCCATTGTAAAGGTAAGTGCACCAGCTGATATCCTGTCCAAATCTTTTGTTACACTTGGTTTGTTTCCCCAAGCACCTCCAGCAATAAAGGTAAACTTTTCCCCTTCACCAAGCTTCTCGGCTACTTTCAGAATTGTTCTAATATTATCTGCAGCATCCATTAAAAGTACAATAATTTTGGGCTTCCATGACACAGTTAACGTTTCAATCAATTCATGGGCATATTCTTCCGACACCCGCTTTGGCACACCAAGAGAATCTCCAATGCAGACGTCTTCCTTCAGGGCAAATTGTCTAAAGGTTTCCATAAGGAATTTTCCTTTGTCATCATTATCATAAATAACACTAACAAACATCCAGTTGTATGATTTAATGATACTCAAGAATGTTCGGAGTTCAGCTGTTCTAGATGGAACACTTGTGAGAATTGTTTGATCTTCACGGTCTGCAAGCTTTTGTCCCCCTACTGGAGAGCTAAAGTGAGGAATGTAATTTGAAGAGAGAATGTTTGAGACTGCTTCTGCAGCAGCATCATCAAATGTAATAGAGGCTACAATCCTGTTTGGCCCCAGCACCATGTTCTCGTCACTCTCGGAAGCTTCTCCTGAAAAAAAGCTGAAGAACCTTTCTCTAGCTCGTTCTATTCTGTCACAATAATCAAATAAAATAGCTCCAAGACCAACTCCGACATCATTGCTGTTAATTTTGCTTAAAGCATATGCAATTGCAGCAACATTTTGAAAGATTCCTTCACTGTGAAATTCGCCGCATGAGAAAAATGTCTGTCCTTTGTGGTGGTAGGGAACCAGGCCGCTAATGCCAAACCGCTGCTTGGGGAACATCTGAAAACATACGTATAAATTAATATGCACACTTAAAATGTATTATAACAATAATACTAATAAATAATTGTTTAAAAAGAAATATATATATATACAGCAGAACATTGTATAGTAGTTCAATAGCTTTTACATGAAATGCACATTTAATAACACCATCATTGATTTGTTACATAATCAATAAAGTATTTTTTTCTCTATTGTCAAGGACAGGACACCATAAATGAACCTAAAACATAAAGGTATTAGGTTTATCAGTCCCTCTAGGATAACATCTGACCTTTCTCCAAGATGTAACCCAAAACACGTGCCTGGGTTGCATCTATCATCTCTTGTTGCAAAAATACTTTGGTTTCAGTTACTTTCTGGTTACCTTCGTGCATTCTCTTGCACGCCTGTATAATTGCAACACTTTATATATTCTTCAATATGCAGTGGTGAATACTCAAATAAATACTGATGCTGTTATGCATTTTCTACTGTCAATTGCAAATATGTGTGCACAGCACCCATGCACTATACTCGTGCACAGCTCATCTGGAGTGTGCTTACAATTGTCAATGGAAGTTCACGTACTGTTCACGTACTTTTGAGGCCCCGAGTTCGAATCTCTGGTGTTATTATCAGTGCTATTATGGATTGCATTTTATTTTATATAGTTGTAATGGCTTAGCGCTTTTCCTGATAGTTCCTTCCTTATCATTATATCTTCTTATTAAGACAGAGACAACTTTTTCAGCTAGGCCATCTGTGCATGAGCAAAATGCACTCAAAATGAAAATAAAGTATACAAAATCTAAATTTTTACCTGTAAATAATGTGTCTTCTTCTTGACAGGTTTAGCCACAACAGCAACATCCCCACAAGACTGGAAATCAATGCACTGCGACTTTATTTCTGTCATGGCTTTCTCTTTTCCTTCGGCATCGTACGTAACCACTAGTGACCCATTAAGAGCCAGACCATCTTCCTCATTGTAGACGCCTACACGCAGGAGGCCAGCTCCTTGCCGAGCACCAACATGACGGTAGTTTAACACCTGCATCAGCATGAGATTTTAATTAAATATTGAAAGATCATCATAGCAACAAATTTAAATTCCTTAAATTTTAATAATGTATAATACCTGTATGTTTAACAAAATATTTTGTACATATGCAGAAATTACTTTTAATCTTTTATATCTCTGTCCTATATGGTTAAATATCTTTTCTGCACAATATGCATACCATCCACTCTAGTGATGACCAACAAAACATATCAGCTGATATATAAATATTTTTAAATTCAAATCCATTTATTAATACTTCATGATAGGGAAAAATATCAAGGCACAATGCAAACAAAATATAAAAAATATCAAATACCACAACACAGATGTATGTGCCATCACTGTTACTTGTTTAAACTAAATGACTCGAACCTGAAGTGTAGCAGCACGATTGTGGCCATCGACAGTGAAGGAAACAGGGCGTCCATCCTCACCAAGTTTGTTGACAGAACGAGTGAATTGGAACATTTTATCTCGATAATGGGAATCTGAAGTTATCTCGCCACACAAACCACTTGACACACCTGAGGTGAGGAAAGAACTACGTTTCAGACAATAGTACGTCTGTGCTCATGAATTGACACACGTGGAATTTCTATGCTTTTATTACACATAAGTATAAAACCCTATGCAATCCCATCTAATTCATTGAGGTTGATGCCATCTATTCTGAAAAATGAAAATTTCAAATACCGACATCTTTATTTTCCACTAAATGACATAAAATTTGTGTGCATGTATCCCATCTGTACATACAGTACCGTAGTACTGTATATGTGTAGTTATTTTTCTGCAAACTACTAATTTACTAACTATTGTCCCATATTGTTCAGAGATAACTTTTCTGCAATTTTCTGGTTTGGCTAACTGGTTTGATGTGGCTCCTCTTGGTAATGCCCCTTAGGATTTTGTCTCTGACCTTGGCCTTGTTACAGTGTTATTGTAACAAGAAGTGATGTTCCAGAGTCAATTGGTTGTAGTTTATCTTATTGTGTCACCATGTATTAAATCTGAAGTCTCTGTGGTCCTTACCTGGACATGCCTCTTTTCGCCATCTGTCAAGTCCTCGACCAAGAAGAGAGACTGCATTCATGGTGCTGACAACCTCCTCAGCCTGGAGGAACTTGTATCCCGAGAGATTGCGTGCTACCCCAGTGAAACACCCTGCACCTTGGCACTTAAATATCTGTTAGGAAAGAGTCTCATGTTAAAAATATTAATATGTAAACAATCAACACCAATAAGAAATTAAAATCAAGTGAGGTTGCGTTAAAAATGTTATGCTTTTTAAAAATAAAGTAAAAACATGCCTTTTGTCAGTTCCCAGGAAATGTTCTAATTGTTCAAACAATCCCAGGGATTGTTCAACTCAGACATGATATTCATTTCAATTGTTTCAATCCAGAGACAATGGTGTAGGTCTCACTGTGACCAAACCTCTGCCTATAAACAATTATTCCCAAGCACACTTTCTTGAAAAATAGAGGTGGTAATTAGAGGCAATATATCACACTGGAGAAATATTACAAGTAGTGTACCACAGTTCATTTCTAGCACCATTAATGTTCACTGACTACATAAAATGATCTACCAGAAGGAATACAGCGCTATATGAACATATTTGCTGATGATGCCAAAGTACTTGGGAAGATAAGAAAATTTGATGATTCTAATGCCCATCAAGATGACCTCAACAGTGAACAAAATAAGTGTATGGAACAATACTTTGACAAGTGTTGCTCAATGTGTTGAAAAATGCCAAGTGTTGTTAATGTGAATAAATGCCACATTATTTAATGAGGAATAGGAGAAAATAGGCCACACAACATACAAATTATGTGAAAAGGCTTTAGAGAACTTTGATAAAGAAGAGATCTAGGGGGTGGTTCTGGATAGAAAACTGTCACCCGAGGACCACATAAAGAACATTGTGCATGGAGCCTATGTTATGCCTTCCAACTTCAAAATCGTTTTTAAATACATCGATGGCAAAATATTAAAGAAATTGTTCACAACCTTCATGAAACCAAAACATGAATATGCAGCAGTTGTATGGTGCCTGTATCTCAAAAAGTACATCAATAAACTGGAAAAGATGCAGAAAGACATGCAACTAAATGGCTTCCAGAAGTTAGAAAGAAGAACTATGGGGAGAGGCTAAAGATGTTAAATATAGCGAAGATAGAAGAAAAAGCAGTGATATGATCACTACAAACATAGTGACAGGCATAAACAAAATTGATAAAAAATTCTTTGAAATCTGCATCTTCAAGAACAAGAGATCATACTCAAATTACAGAAAAAAAAGCTGCCAAAAAAGCATTAGAAAGTTCTATTTTGAAAACAGAGTGGTAGATGGTTGCAATAAGTTAAGCGAGTTGGTGGATGATAAAACTGTCAAGTTTCAAAGCTTCATATGACAGTCCTGGTTAGATAGGACACCAGGAGCATAGCTCTCACCCTGTATCTACACTGGGCCCAAACAAACACTGCAGGTGACCTGCATATATATACACCAGTTCCTATTTATTTTTATAAATGAAGATAGTTATTAAATTATGATAACATCAGATTCCCCTGAACCTTGAATAGAAGTTGCAATCTCAAGTGTTAAATACTTCAACAAATTATAACCAGATAGATTGTACAACTATGATATCAAACCTAGTCACACAAAGACCCTCCACAAGCTTGACTGAAAGTAAAGACCCAGGACAGCCAAAATACACAGATCAGTGTTTTTTATGATATTAAAACTAAAAACCCCACATCAACGGGGGGTTTAATTCATTACAATGAAGCACAAAGCTCTGGGCTGACTAACAAGCATTCATTCTTAATAGCTCCAGTAAGAGATGGTCTCACCCACGGACACGCCCAACCTGAGGTTGTGATAGAATCAGCACCTGCTATTGAGAGTTTTGTGTAATATCACTGAATAGGTCAGATTTATATTTGACTAACTTAATGTAGAGCAGTCACTGAAACAAAATAATAATAATGCACAGTTTCTGTGGCATTAAATTAAAATTAAAATTGGCCTATACAAAGAATGACTTACCTCTGCCCAAAACTCATGGAACCAAGGGTAGGCTGTGTGGTTGGCAAGTGAAAGACCCTTGAAATAAGTCTGGAATTCTTGTACAGTGCCACTAAAAGGTTGTAAGACGACCATACCAAGCGCTTCACTCCTGGAAGGAGAGCTCAGATTTGACAAGGTAAACGTTTGCCTGACTTGCCTGTATCTTGACATTATTAGTAACTTTTAAACAAAAATATTATACAAATGTTGTGAACATTATCGTACCTATGTAATACAGTATTTTTTTTATACCGGCATTATAATTATTTATAATGTACTGTATACAAAATTTTACTTGGGCTATTAAATGTATTAATAGTTATTTTTATCAAAGTCATAACACATGAACAAAATACACTACAGTATAATTTATTTGGAGATAGGAAACTGAAATAATCAGATCTCATTATAAAAGTTTCAAATGTTTCAAAAAGTTTCCCCATCTTTGTAACACAGAGTAGACACGTGGTACAGAGTGCACCTATTGTCTCTGTAGCATGTCAGTGTATTTTTACCCAAGAATGTTTAGAATGAACATATTGTGTTTCTTTTAATGAATGAAATCAAATGTAGAAAAGCCTAAGGTTAAAAAAAAAAGTCAAGCACAAATATAACTGCAGAACCTTAATGGAAGTAATATTATAGCTAATATTAGAATGCAACCTTCTGCTCAATGGGGAGAAACTAAGTTTATCATAAATTAACAGAACCTTATGATGTGCAAATGTTGGTTATCAATGTGTGTCCACCAGTTGTACGAGTATCTCCCCACTCTCGCAGACCGGCTATATTGTATAAGGAATGGTTACCGTCTGTGTCACTTAAGAACACTGCCAACTCTAATAAAATGTTTAGTAAAGTTCATGAGCTATACACTGTATATTTTATTACAAGACATGTAGACAATAAGTCACAATAACGTAGCTGAATATTAGACACCCAAGCCACAACTCTGGAAATACAGGAAATGACATTTCGGTCCATCCTAGACCATTATCATGGTCCAGGATGGACCGAAATGTCAGTTCCTGTATTCTCTGATCTGTGGGCTAGGCATCTTAATTATAAGACATACTCATGTTTTATGAAGGGCAAAGGAGACTCTGCCATAATGAAGACAAAATCATCAGTGCGCAAGAGCCCTTCATTGCGAAGCTTGGCTGCTGCTTGGAGGAAGAGTGCTGCGTGGTGAGGCTCCAGTAGCAGAATGACAGCCCGGGCACCCTGCTGTGCTGCCTCAGCTAGTTTGGTCCATACATTCATCATGTACTCAATCTGGTCAACCTAGGTAGATAGAAGCAATTTTCAGGAAAAGAAATTCCCTCCATTTACCTAATTCTGTATCTTATAAGGGTGCCTTATAATGACTTCCTTCCCTGTATATGTCTGTCAAAACCTGACAAGGGTCCAGGATGGGCCAAAACACCGTCACTTTCCTTTCTTTCCATGTGGGGGGGGAAAGAAAAGGAGGATGATTTTAATCTTATTTAAAATGCACAAAGCAAGAGATATGTCATATGCAAAATGAAAACAGACATAATAGAGGCAGTGTACATTGAATTCTTTACTAATGCTAGAACTTCAAACTAATGATGTGGAGGGGTTACAATGAAAGCAAAGATTTGTTGTGTCGTAATACAGAGGATGACCCCACTGACAAGTAGGACTGGGAGATAAAGTGGAAACAATGTGCTGCTCAAAATGGCTGTATACTCTTGGACTGGACAGTACAGCAATGTTCTCACTTCTTGCAAGTCGGCGTCCAAGCCCTGACTGTCCCAAGCAGTTGGGCACCATTCTTTCCCTTCATCCTATCCTAAATCCTTATCCTTGCATCCCATCCAAGTGCATGAATTAACCTGCTATTATATGTCTATATAATAAACATTACAAACTTTCTCCATACCGTTGTATCACTTTTGTAGCAGTTGTACGGTACTGGTATTTACCTTGAGAGGTACTGGTTCAGATATAACAGCTTTCAGATTGTGTGCATCTGTTTCCCGCAGGAGATGTTTGTGGATGTCACCAGCCGTGCCGCCATCGGAGTACACGGCGCTGAACACCTCCCACCTCCAGTAGAGCAGGAGTGATGCAATAGCTCCTCCCTGAAAATAACATAAAGGAGTCATTACACATGTTTAAATCAAAAATATTTTTAATAAATGGTTGTATATTTATAATTTAGTTTACACAAAATTTCAGTAGATTATAAACATAAGAGAAAGTCATTATAAAAACATTACATTCATTTTAATGATATTGTATACAGTACGGGTCCCGTATAATCTAGCTTCAGATTTACATATACGTGTACAGTACATATTAACTTGTTATTTCAGCATGTGAAGATTTGAACATTTAAACTACGGTACCTAGATTATACATTAACCAATGAGACAAATGAATGAGAAAGATAACATTTGTATAAGAAATATAAGATACAGTACTCAAAAGTAGCAAAACATTTGTATGGGTCAAGTAACAAACTCAGCTGACTGACAAGTTATCACAGCTCAAATACAACTTTGCTGCACGTACACCTGGCAGGTCAGCTTCTATGAGGTTCTAGTAGATAATGGAAATACTGTAGATGTGATGAAGGTATGAGGTGTGTAGACTAAAATCATAAACACCATCACTATTACCATATAATATACAGCAGTGAAAACTAGATTACGTATTATCAACACTTGACTCCAATGCATAATAATATATTGTATACATATTATAGTTGCAGTGCAAGACGTTTCTGTAAAGAGCTACCTTACCTTACCTTGTGATGGTTCCAAGCACCAACATCCATGGCCTGGTCTCTGACCAAGCCGATAAACTGTAAAAGCTAATGCCAAATATCCACCGAGATCTCAATAAGAACTTTTTCTGCCCTCTCACATGACGAGTATGATGTGCACAATAAACTACTCTTATTGTATGCAGTTAGGAGCTTTATAAAATATACCAAACAATGTATCTACATACTAATTAACCATTGTATTATGATCCCTTGTATATCATATAATTAAAACATTGGTATTAGTTTTATTATTACAACAACATTCACTGCTAACACTTGATACTTACCATAACTTCATTAGGTGGTGCCAAGCGTAAAAGGACAGGAAAGCGGCGCGTGTTGGAGTACACACTGTTGGAAGCCTGGGTTGCAATAGTTGTGATTCCATAAGGTTGGGTCACATCAATTACCTGCCTCACCTCTTCTCCAATACCACCAGCAATCAGGCCAACAATGTTGTTTGAGGATGGTACCTATGGAAGACAATGACATTAGCTATACACACTGAATTGAAGAAAAATTCCTTCTCAAATTTCAGGTTACTCTTGTATTTTTGAGCAACAGTATTTCATTTACTTCAATATAAAGTAGTATGCACTCCAACTCTAAACAGGATCATGAATCAATCGGAGTAACACTCTGGCATTGGCACCACACGGAATTTTCAAGCAGCCCTGCAGGGTAATGCACTTCACGTTGTCGGGACAGGAAATTTGTACTTTGGGTTATTGAGGTTCCCTGAGGGGTCTCTCCATCATGAGCCAAAGACATAGACCACTGTAAAAGACCAGAGATCATCCAGCCAAGAATAACTGACAAACGAAAATGGCACAACAGTTCTAAGCCTTCTCAGGGCCTCTTACTTGCATCTTGTGTATGCACAAGTCCTTGTGTATCCCTGTCAATCTTGGGCCTGATCTATTTGTCCAGCACTTGCTTTATTCACAGTCCACTGCATGTGTTCCAAGGATGTAAGTGCTTAGTGTTGTTTATCGGGTGCAACTAGCCAGTTTCTCACCATGTGTGTTTGGTTGGAGGCAGTTTCTGTACACCCAAAGGAACCCGAGGCTGGTGATATCAACACTGGTTTGGAATTTCACTGTTTTTTTTTTATATATATTTCTTTGACCCTCTGATGATAATGTTAGGCTATTGTTAGCTGTTGTGCTTGTGACTGAACCACCAGGCCATGTGATGACACGGAAGATGGAATAGGAAAGACTGTTCCATGCCTGGGTATAATATGTTTGTTTGTGTACTCTAACCGTCATCCCTTAGGTACAGGTATACCCTGTTTCCCACTTTTGTGGGATGAGGAGGCATACATCCAAAGAATATACAAGTAAGATGAAAATGGTTAAAGATAATACAAAATTACATACATCCATTTACCACAGCTTTCACCCTGGGACAAGCCACAGCTTCGAGATGAGGCTGAAAGAAACGAATCTCTCAAAGCAAGAAAAACAAGGAAAGGGGGGGGGGTAAATAATCATAGCATATAGAATCCTTAAAGAAGTCAACTAGTTAAGTTGAGACAGGTCTGAGATCAGGAAAAGATTATGTCACCTAAGATGATTAAGATGTGGGACCAAGAAGCTTAGCTCAGTCCCTACAAAATATGATAAAACAAGTAATCTAGTTGGACCAGTACCGTTGAGATAAACAAATGCAACTCAATCATAATACGGAACACCAAAGGCAAAATGTAGGCTTGCGAGTATAACCTATTATTCATCCAAATACATCCATGACTCATGCCTACAGTAGCATAAAATACAGAAGATCAACAGAGTATATATTTATTGGATGCTCCCTTTCGTCTTCTCTTTATACTGATGCTGTCTTTATATATTTTAAACTACCCTGCTAGTGGCTAAAGCTGCTTCTTAAAGTAGCATTCCTCTGGACAGCTAGTACTCTAGTACTCTTTATGAATAACACCTTTTAATGGTTTATATTTATTAACAACTCCTTTGTTTATATAATATTCTTCTTCAACCATTGTTAATAGCTAAAACACGTACATATACTATACATACATATTTACACATCTTAACAACTAACCGATTTGTTACAAATATATTTTTAGTACAGTATTGTCAAGTCTTACCTGCTTTCTCATTCTCTCGGGAATACGACCAGTAAGGAAGTTGGTCACATCACGCACAACTTTTTCTTTGCTGGTACATGCATCGAGGATAATAGCACCGAGAGTCACACCGGGCAAGATCTTCGGATCAGAGTTCAGGCGATCTAGAGACCATAATAATGACTCCACAATTTGGATACCCTAACAATGATAAAAAAAGAAAAAAAAATTATAATGGAGTGGTTGAGTGGCTAGTAATATTTTAGGTATCAACAGTAATTACACAAATAACAAATAAAACTGCTGTAGAGGGGATTCTTTGACTAGCAAAACATCTGACTCGTGAACGTGAACACTCAATCTTGGCAATGACTTCCCAAAACCCTGTTTTCAAGCCCAGATTTCCTTTATGACTCTGCTCTGTCATCCTCCATAATATGGGGAAGTGCCACTTTTGCGTCCACACAGTTGTGTTGGCTGCTACACATGTCATGGGTACACATGGCCCATGACAGACCCATGGGCCACGTGTGCCTGTCCTACGTTGCCATAGTCAACAATAGTCTCATGTGCAGCGCAGACCTACTATTTTAGTTGCTTATCAGGGACAATAGTATGAATAATGGCTGATAATGAGAGAAAGTGGGTTAGTTTACTTTAAGTGCTACATCATATGAAATTATCAGCAGAACAGGTTAACAGTCAAAAGCATTTATATACCATGCTCTATTCAAATAAAATATAAATGGTCAAAATAATTAATAAGCTGTAATTTCTATGGCAGTATATGGACTTTCAGCCCATGCTTCCATCTTGCCCTCAACAACACTTTCATAACTGAACTCACAGCTCAAGCATCTCCCTGAGAATTCATTCATTGCCTCAACTTTATCCTCCATCCCAACAACTCTGTCAATACAGTATTCTCACCTTATCTCCATCTAAACCACCGCATTCTAGAGGACGGTCACCTTTTTGGTGTACATTAATGGTGGCAATAATGTACAGTTTGTCTGGGGAATCAATAAAGACATAGTCTGTTTCATGGTGGTGGCACGTGGAGCAGCCACTTGTGCAGGAGGAAGGCAACTGGTCCATGCGGGTAACCGAGCCATTATGATATTCTACCATGGCATTGCCAAGAGTCAGCCCACTGTCAACGTATCTGCCAACCTGAGAACAAAAATGTAATGGGTTAAGACTTACGAAAATACTGAATAAAATGTTTGAGAAAACCTCAACAGATGATCCAACTACTTCAATGGAGATAATGACTGGTGGCTCTATAAAAAATATAAATATGTAAGGCCTATAATGAAAACTAAAATCATACCCTTTGTAATATTTTATATAACTTATATAATAAGCTTTATAAACTTTATATAATTTACAGTATTCTTATTATAAATCCAACAAATACTTCAGACAACACAAAATAAACTTGTCCTCCAGAGCATCTGACAACCTGAAGTAAATCCTACCAGATTACCTAGGCCAACTAGCAAGGGGTACACAATCCCAGATTTATAACACTGTACCACAAAGTAGGTCTCTCTCACAGCCCCAGCACTCCAACCACCACCATCTAAAACCCACAAGCAATCCAGATGGGATGACCCCATTATAGACCGAACATCTCCAGTGTGCCTAGACGCTGTGACAAAGCCATACCACTTTGCTCGCCTCAGATGTAGCAGCTCCCCAAGCTGGTGACTTCTTATTAGCACCTATGTCAACAACTGGCATACATCTCGCACCACAGGCCCTCTGAATTGTAATGGCCCCAATCCACACTGAATGTAGGTGTATTTGCAGTGAGGAAGTGGCTGATAGGTACAATTTACTCTACCAAACAACAGGGGAGAAGGGACTCTCGACAGAGTGAAGTTAATACAGTATCATTAAGAGGAGTATTAATATCTTACCATGGCTGGCTGGATGCCCAGCAGAGAGTGCACCCCACAACCTGATGCCCCGTAACTCTGATGAGACTTAGTTGGCCAGAGGGAAACAGTGAACCCTGGGAAAAATGGTAGGCAGTTGGTGTGGAACTACATATGTGCATCAACCTTGGCTAACACCTACATTGACTTCAGTGTTGCACATCTGGGTGGTGCTGCCACCCACAGGGAATCACTTAAGTCCAGTAAATACAGAGATCTAGATCACCATTAGAATTTTTTTCCAACTGCCTTGGAGACACTGGGTGCCTGAGGTAAAAGTGCTACTAGTTTTTTAAGGATCTGGGTGCTAAGCTAAGTGAAACAACAAAAGACCGTTGAGCTGCCAGCTTCCATTTCCAGTACCTCAGCATGACAATACAGAGGGGAAATGCACATTGCATTCATGGTCCCTGCCTGCCATCTGAGAAGCGGAAGGAACTCTACATTCTGCAACCACTAACTTCGTACCTTGTAGGTAACCAACGTTGTAACTCATTTTATGAAATAAAATTTCAAATACAATAAGATAATTACATATATACAAAGGGGTGGTAGAGAAGGCAGTATGTGAATGCATATGGAAATCCCACAAGGCTCACTTGGGTGCTGCATATGGGTTGTGAAAGTACATATGGTGGTGATAAAGTCCCATGCAAAGCCACTAACATGCATAGCATTTCAAGCAAGTCAGAGCTAACATAGAATTTGTAGTGAATTTTAGAACATAAGAATCAAGGAAACCGCAGAAGGTCTTTTGGCCCATACGAGGCAGCTCCTATTTATATCCATCCAAACTCATATCCACCTATTTATATCCACCCAAACTTTAAATTACAAAGTGAAAGTTAATCTTGAACAAAGCATAAATGCAGTGACAGGTATATAATGACAATTTAGATTCACATAATTACTATACAGTACTACAGTGATAAAAGGTGGTGATAAGAAATTATATTGATGTATTGTAGTTTTATTTCACAGACTCATATAAAGAAAACTTTAGTTCTTAAAGTACAGTACACACACTACTGTAATGTACTTATTACATTTTAGATAAGCAATTCACAATTTTAATCCTGATTACCTTTTCATATTTATACTTGATGGGTTTTTGATCTGGAAAACGCATAAGACTCAAGACCTCCAGTGGGGCATTGCCATGGAAGTTCTCAGTAAACTGAAAATATTCGGAGGGCTTATCCACCCGCGATACCTCTGTGTTGCGTAAAAACTCATTGAGCACAGTTCTTTGCCGCCATCTGTGAGAGCAAATTATTAGCCATTGCTGCGATGTTCAATGTCTGGTCAAAATTATATTCATCAAAGTTGAAACAAGACAAAAAGGAATTTAAGCAGTTTGCTAAACAAAACAAAAAATTTAATTATTTATATCCATGTACAATACATGAATAATCAACAAAACAACAAATCAACACTATGGGAATCATGTATACTGTATATACACACAAGTACAAAATATATATTTTGATTTTGGCACCAATAATATAAACAGAACACTACCATATAGCCTATTCATTACTAAAGCTGTTACTTGAAAATATTCATAATATTTATAGATTTAAATGAAAGGTTGCTTACTTTACATAAATGCATTCTACAATTCTAAACAATGACATCATTGTGCATCTTGAGAACTCGTGCATTAAATTGTGTAACAGTCTTACCCAATGAGTTTCGGGGTTCAGTTCCTGAGCCCATTATGTGGCTCTGAAACCTTTTCCACCACCACCCACAGAATCGGTATGGAATACATAATAACTAAGCCAAACTGAGAACTCACTTGGGCAACCCTGGGCATAATCTTCCATCATGCTGGGGACACAGATGATTTATTAGCTGCGTGAGGGCTGCACCAAACGAAAACATAGCCTGAACAACCCTCGGCGTGGATGGTACAGATGTGTATGGCACAACAGGTAGTGGAATAGCGGTTGACTGACATGTTGATCCTACACATCCAAACTCCTTTAGGACGAGTTATTGTTGAGAGAGAATGTAAATGGTTTTAGCTTGATCGTCATATTACCTGCTTTATGTACACAAAAGTTAAGACTATAAAAGTAAATATGCAAGTGAAAAATTTGTAGATTCACCTGAAATAAATAGTTGCAGTACTGTACTGTATATGGGACGTTTAAATTTACCCGAATTTTACCCGAGGGCCAAAGATTCCAGTTATTCCTGAGGATTTTTTCCAGATGAATTTTAAACTGAAGTAATGTCTTGGCATTTATATATATGCAGGGGGGTAAGCAATTCCATGAATTTATAACCCTATGAGAGAAAAAGCATCTCCTGTTTTTTGTCCTGCAATGTGTTTTGCTGAGCTGAAGTTGTTGCCCCTGGAGTGCATTGCATTGTGGTCTGAATGTGGTCTCTTAGAGTGGTCAGAATTATTTTTTCCAATTTGTTCAATATTTAAAAGGTCTCAGTAAGATCATGTAATTACCCAAGTGTAGTTACAGGATGAGAGTCATGCTCGTGGTGTCCCATCTTCCCAGCACTCTGTCATAGCTTTGAAACTACTGATAGTTTTGTACTCCACCATCTTCTCACCTAACTTGTTCCAACCATCTGCAATGATGATCAAGTTGAAGGGTTATAAACCCATGGAACTGCCTACCTGCAGAAGCTGTAAATGCCAAAACTCTTTAACTTTAAAATCCAGCTAGAAAAAAATCCTCAGGACAAATGGACGGGATCTTTGATAAACCGCCAGCTTCCTATCCTCATCGAGGCCACTAGTGTGCTAGTGGCCCTCGGGTAAATTCAGGTAAATAATGACTAAATCAAAGTGGAGCAAAACTAACTGACCTGTTGCCAGTACTCCTTGAACCATGGATTTCTGGTATTTTTTGCAGGGTTGAGGAGTCTATAATGTGCTATGAAGTCCCTCACATCCTGCTGGCCATCCTTCAGCACCAGAGCCCCACCCAGGTCAGAATCAAACTCACGAAGCTAAAATCATTATAATCTGCATTGTAAACATGAAGCTGGATTGTCATAGATTAAGTAAATAGATTTAGAGTAATATAGTTCAACTTTAAAAACCCTACTTAAAAATCAAATACATTTTTCTCTGTGACAGTACCTGTATATGGATACTGTACACAGTATTTTATTCACAAATATTATTCATTATAACAAATAGCTTAAAAGTTTTAAATTACAAAACAAATATTTTTATGAACAAGTACCTTCTCCTTGTGATCCCCCCATGAAGAAGTCCCCAAGAAAACAAGCTGATGCTTGAGTAACCGGTGGACGAGAACTGCCCGCTTGACAGCAGCGAGTAAGTCCCTCGTGTCGTTCACGGTCAAGAAGAGAACAGTAGCACGTGCACCAACTACTGCCTTCTCTGTCAACTGCTCCACAATCTAATGAAGATATTATTAGAGATTATAACAATGTATATGTTGCATAACCAAAAGTATGATGAATATTGGTAATTACAATATTGCATACAGTATACATTAGGATAAAAAAATGTTACCTAGTAAAAGTTTCAAATTAATTTTAATTTAGGGTAGCAGCACACCACTGTGTACTTAATCTTAATAATTTCTGTTGAGTAAATTTGCTCCCTCTATAAAAATAAAAATTGGTACCCATAAAACAGCAATAGTTATTATAAAGTGCCACAGCTGAGAAAGGCTAAGAATTAAATTTGATACTGATTACCTTTAATATTCTAAAATAAACATAATAATTTAAGCTGAATTTTACACTTGCTAAAATACAGTACATTCACATTAATCAACACCTGCTATAGCAATATATTATCTCTCGATACTGTACAGTATTCCTCATTCAAACCTTCCCTTGCTGCCAGAGTACCTCAAATCTCCCAATTCAGAAGCTGGGAGGCAAAAATTATCTACCTTCTCTCTTGTTCTGAGGTCCTTAAGAGCTCCATATGCAGATCTCTGAGCTCTGCAAGCTAGCCGTCTGTTTAGCTCTGTGAGCTAGCCGCCTGGTTAGCTCTGCGAGCTAGCCGCCTGGTTAGCTCTGTGAACTAGCCGCCTGGTTAGCTCTACGAGCTAGCCACCTGGTTAGCTGCATGAGCCAGTGAGCAGACCCACCAGAAAGAGGTGTTTCATTACATTAAACACTGGATTTTTTATTTAATTAGAGTACTTCCAATTTTCATAATTTTCTTGCTTAAATACAATCCATTAACCATTTCCTCTACTTTCCCCATGTCTCCATGCTAAATCTTTCCATTTAATACTTAATACAAACATTTTTCTTAATTACCTGATCAGCAAGAGTGGCCATGGCTGGAGGATCCAAAGGTGTCATTTTAATATCGTGAGCTAAACACACTCGCGACGCCTGAGCCACAGTCCTGAAAGCTTCGGCTCCAGCCAAATTCTCTGGATCTTCCGACGACACCACAAGGGACACGTAATCCCAACCAAGAAATCTCAGCATCTGGCGAGGTAATTGGAGTTGTCAAACCAACACAATTTAATCCAAATGCATTCACTGCCGACTGCACCACGATGAGCTCAAAAGTACCTTAACCTTGCTCCATTAAACTTATACACACATGAAATTAAAATTAATTAAAATTATGGTCAAAATGCTTTGCGTATTTGTAGCTTTATATAATATACAACCATCATCGATTATCCCATGTTCGAGTCCAGGGAACGATAGAAATGGTTAGGTACATTTCCTTTCACCTAATACCTTTGTTCATCTACCAGTAAATAAGTACTGTGCCTGGAAATAAGGTAGCTGTTTGATCATTACCGCCAGGGGCAGCTAGTTTATTGTGCACCCCATACTCAATCCTGTGAGCAGTAGCCCAAAAACAGATTACAGGGGGCACAAAAGGTCTTAACCTCAGTAGATATTTTTACATTAACAATTTCATCTAATTTGTATACCTTATAATGATTGCATCAGCTACTTACAATACAAAAAATTTAAATATAAAGTATTTACAAAGATTATTTTACACTTAGATATGGAGGATATTACAGGATCACAGAAGACCTTCTGCTTATTATTACAAGTCTTCACACTACACAGCATATGCAGATTCTCATAAAGGGAGACAGTAGTTTGACCTTGGGGGAGGACCTCAATAAGCCTCAAGTTGTCTACTTTCAATAATCAGAATTGTATGGGGGCTCACCCCGATTCGAGTTAGCAAAATTTTTACCTGGAAAATCAAAACAGTAAAAAATTTTTTTAAATTTATTTAGGTTTTTCTTTGTCATAAACCAGAATTTTTATTTGAGTTGAGCAGTAAAAAACATGAACCTGAATTCATTCGGATTACCCAAAGATTCAGGTTACCTGAATTTGAATTATGGAGCTCCTAGAGTAAGTGAGTGAGTGTCTACATGCTTCCTGCCCCAACAAAACAAATTATTATTAAATAAAAATGATTATCAACATCATACCACAGTACCTGAACCATTGCTTCTGCCTCCATGTTGATGGGTGGGCTCATCTGTAACGCAAACGGAGAGTGTGCTTGTGATGGCCCCAGGTTGATGGACGTTATGTTGAGAGAGGACAGAATCTCGCCTGTAACTCGTGCAGTTTCTGGGTCAAGAGCAGTTATGAAGGTCTGGATGTCGTTGATGTCAACATTGATGCCAGGAAGAGAGCTCTTAACAAGGCTTGTCACCTGGTTCATTGTGCGGATCTGTTGTACACAAACATCTAAATAGTAAAAAAGTTACTATGGACCGTAACTATTCTTCATTCCTGCACCACGTTCAGTAATATATCCTACCCACTGTTATAATAATTATTTAGTTACTCGATATAAAAAAAAAGTACAGTGCCCCTCTGACTTTAGGTGGGGTTATAGTCGTGTAATTATCTACCTTCGGATAATTCAGAGTCTAACTATAGAGCACAGCATTTAATTAAAGATCTTACAGGAAAAACAGGAGGCCTTCTATGACTAAAGATTTTGTACCACAACATATTACATACCAGTTACTACCTACAGTTAGCAAACTTTAGCTAAAATTTCTGGTAGCAGATCATTTTGAATGAAATATTTACACATTCCTTTAACATTTGTTATAGAATTGCCTCTGAAATTGTGTATATTTTTGCACTCCATCACAGTGACAAAAGGTGTGCGAATAACTGTAAACTAAATTACTCGCCCACCCTCTGCCTCTGTCACCATGTGATGGAGTGCGAAAAGATATGTACGTGAATTTAGAGAATTCTATAACAAATGTTCAAGAAATGTGTAAATATTCCATCCAAAATGATCTGCTACCAGAAATTTTAGCCAAATATCCTCAGTTTGCTAACCGTAGGCAGTAACTGGGCGACTATAACCTTTCCACTACTGCCCACTGGATGGGAGGCGGTGTGCAGAATAAACATCAATTAAGACACTAACTCTCCACATGTTAGTTGCTTAATTTAGAGACTGTACTTGTAGTCAGTCTCCAGCCCACTGTTGATGTAATGATGTGCATTGAATTTTGCAACTAGATCAAAACTGTAACTTGCAACTAAATAAATTTAGGGGTTTAGTCCGAGCCCATTATGTGCCTCTAACTCTTTCAACTACCACCCACAATAGCTATGGGGTGCATAATAAATTAACTAAACTAAACTGCAACAGTGCATCCATATTCTGCAAAATTATGTCTTATTAATACATAGTACACACAGTAAAACAATAACTTTCTAATGTCTCTCCATCAACTCATAATATTACATTGTCTTATTTAGTTTCAAGAATTACCTCATTAATTAATCTTATATATTGTTTACCTAATTTTTATGTTATACCCGAAATACACTGCATATTAGTGGTTTTAGGCACTGAACTTATCTTGCTTAGAAATCCCCCTTTGTTCCTGTATCATATGTGTGTACTCTTGCCTAAATAAATATTACTGGATCATTATTATTATTGTCATTATTATTATTATAATTATAATACTTTACTCATCAACTTATTTACAACAAAAATAACAGCAGCTCATTTACCATGTTGGCATGGAATTACATTCTTGCAAAGTTATTAACATGCACAGTAATTAGGGAGTTCTTAAGCAACAAATTATTTGAAATATACTTGAACCTTTTGTAATGATGTATTAGTTACAAGAAGTAAAGTTAAACTTAAATGTATTGTACTGTAAATGTACTAGTGGATATATTTTAGTAGCACAAATCTTTCCTATTGACCCAAAGATTTTTTAAACCATTACAAAAACAAAAGTTTTCTAGTTAGCTGATCCCCCACCTTCCTCCACAAGGAGTGATACCACACCCCAACACCAAGTACGAACCCTAGATCCACAGGTATCCAGAACCACAGCACCAAGCGTAGTCGCTGGCAACAACTTCTGGTGCCGATTGATCTGGTCCACAGCCCAGAGGAATGCTTCCACTTCTTGCATCGTCTCCTCATTTAAAGTCTCACTACAGTCTGCACCTGCAAGATGTACCACCATCAATATCCTAGAGCCTTCCAATTAAACATACAAATGTTTTCAGTAAATTCAAGGTTGACTATTATAATAAAACTTATATCAGTCAACAAATAATCTTCATTATCATATGACAACAAAACTTTAAATATTCATCCTTCCATGGGGACAAAATCCTCGGTGTATTCATCCTTATATTGGAACAAATCCCTTGGTACATTCATCCTCCCATCAGAACAAAACCCTTGGTACATTCATCCTTCCATGGGGACAAAACCCCTTGTTGTATTCATCCTTCCATGGGGATAAAACCCTTGATGCATTCATCCTTCCATGGGAACAAAACCCCTTGTATTCATCTTTCCATGGGGACAAAACCCTTGACCATTCATCCTTCCATGTGGACAAAACTCCTTGCTGTATTCATCCTTCCATGGGGACAGAACCCTTCATGCATTCATCCTTCCATGGGAACAAAAAATATTAAGCACTGTAGAAAATGAAGGCACTATGGAAAAGCCCCTGAACTACTGAACAGAAAATTATTAAGGACAAGAAAATGTCTTACCATCAAGAGAAGGCTGATGAATGGGGAAGAGTGCAGCAACAACTATGTGGTCTGGGGATGGCAGCAATACATGTTTCTGCACAACACCTCCCAGTGTCACATTTCCCACCTATTTAAAGCAGTGGGTTAAGATATGAAGTTATTTTATACCAATATTTTAACTGCAATATTTTATAGACAAATATATACCTAACTGGTAAGACTTTGCATGTTGCAGCAAAAAATTGTAGTTCAATCGATACCCCATACTGTTTTCCCCATTGTAGCAGACAGGAAGTCAATTAGCCTTTCATATATTTTATTATCATCATCGAGGTCCCATGAAGCAAATGCCTGACACTCCCCAGAACATGACGAACAACTACCTCCCCAGTACCTATTTACTATCAGATAAACAGAGGCATCGAGCTTAAGAAAATGTCCCCAAACCTCTCTCCCTCTCTCTGCAGGGAATCAAACTGTGACCAACTGGTTGTGCTAGCTAATGCAACACAGATACACCTAGCTCTAAAAATTGATTATATAATAAAGCTAAATTTGGCATCCTTTGGCTAGTGCAGTAACTATGACAGAGTAGTGAACTTGAAGACTAGTGAACTTAACCACTAACATGATGGTTAAGATGAAACTTGGTATTATACCAAAATAAAAATACAGTACCTTGCAAACTCAAAATTTTTCAGAATATATGTTATACAAGCTGAAAATTGGCAACAAAACACAGTACAAGACTAAAGGTACAGTATTTAGCTTAATATGGTTTTGAATACCAAGACCTACCTCTGTCTGCTCGTTTAGAGTCTTCAGGCAGCTGCTGCAAGAACCTCGTGGACAACTAACTTTATCCGGAATGAGAGATTCATCTGCCACTCGTAGGGTTAAATTCTCCACCAACATAGTCTGTTAGGACAAGAAAATGTTACATTTTTAACAGTTGAGATTTATTTGACTGAAAAACTGTAATAGCTTGGAGGCAGTGGCAAATTCAAAGTACAGTACAATGAATCATCCACAATTTATTTTGAAACAGCTTATCTAGCACATACGTTTACTCAAATATTGGAAATTACAGTCTCCCTAGGCCAACAACTGACCTTTCCTCTTATATGCAACCTACAACAGTGACCTTGCTCTCAGATACCCATTTACATCTGTACTTTTAGGAGAATAGAAGCAACCACAACTTCAAGTTCTACTCCAGCATCACCTACCTCCTCTTCTAGCAATAATTAATCTTCCAATTAAGCAATAATCCTGTTTTAGATTGCAGAGTAACACCAGTATTTAAGATAAGTTAAACTATCATCTTTTCATATATTTTCTATAATTGTTTATTAAATGTTGTAAATTTTTGGAGGCTGGGAACCTAATTCCCATTTATGCTAGTTCTCCCATGGAAAATAGAGTTCCGAAAACTGAAAATCGGGTTTGAAGGTCAAGGACTTACAAACTATTTAATTTCACTTAATTGCGAAATTAAATACAAAAATATTTAATTTCACTACTATACTCTCAATTGAGCTATTTGACAAGTTAAAGTCTGTGTCCCAGGGTGACTGGAAGATGGGTAAACGAGAACGTTAAAGATAAACACGAGATTATGTTAAATGGTGAAGATTAGATTTGGGATGGCGAATAGTATTTTGAAAGTCTTAATGGATGGAGGTAATGGAAGAGGTTCTAATGTAAACATGACTGGATTTTTAGGCAAGAAGAGTGGAAGATCACACTTGCTGCTAATAGATATATATTAATATATATCTATTAGTAAGGTGAGTACAAGTACATCAATAATGCTGAAGTTTGAAGAATCTGCAAGTACTAAGGTTCATAAAGAAATTGTTTATTATTGTCAAGAAAATTAACAAAATGGGAGTGGAGAAGGCATGGAATAGTGGCATGGAATTAGTGATAACCAGGAGATTGGAGAGGGGGAAGAGAGAAAAAAAAAACTAACTGTAGCGATTATAATTTATCAGAATTTACCTGAGGGCCACTAATACTATTGGCCTTCCTGTCCTTGATGAGGACAGGAAGCTGGCAGCTTGTCATAATTACAGTATAATATAGGCATTAATTTACTATGTGTAGCAGGCAAAGCGTGCAGAATTATAGTGACTGGCAGAGTACCGGAAATGAGATAATATATTCAGGGTATGTGTAAGAACATCCATCTCTCTATGACTGGAAGTGATACCCTTTATCTTCTTGTACAATTTACTGGATATTCAATTTCTTAACATGTACCAAAGCCTCCAAAGAACATCCTGATCTTCCATATTGTACTAATTTCTATTATCCCACAGCAATCTCAATCCCACATTATGCAACAATCTTCAATGGGGAAACTATTTTTAAAGACGAATTATGCACACCTGCCGAACAGTCACACTAGAGTTTCCAGGGTCGGTCAAAATGTTGTAGAGCCCAAGAGAGGTTTCAGATAACTTCCCTGACCAGTCATTCCTTCGCTTGCCACCTGCAAGGCTAGTGAGGCTGCGAGTTCCTGGTCCATTATGTTGAAACTTAAGTGGAGTCAGATAATCTGCCAGAAGCTCCTTTCGACCCATTTCGCGAAGACTCTCACACACACCACGGCTGCAATGTACAACAATGTATTTACAACACATTCAATGCATAGGTGACTTGTATAATGCAACAATGGTGTTTCTGGAAAAGGCATGGTATTATTAGTTTTTATTTATTTATATATACAAGAGCTCTTACATTCTTGTACAGCTACTAGCGCACATAGCATTTCGGGCAAGTCCTTAATCCAAATTTTCATACACACACACACAAATCCCCAGGAAGCAGCCCATACCAGCTATCAAACTCCAAGGTACCTATTTACTGCTAGGCAAACAGGTGCATCAGGGTGAAAGAAACTCTGCCCATTTTTTTTCCGCCTCCGCCATGGATTGAACCCGGACCCCTAGGACTACGAACCTTGAGCTCTGTCCACTCAGCCATAAGGGCCCCCATCAAATTTATATTCATAACAATAATAATTAGATTTATCTAATAAATGCTCAATATAAACTAAAAACCATGTGCTAAAATAATTATATTCCCAGTTATAGCAAAATTGTACATTTACATGAATATTTTACTTGTGACTGAAATTGTAGGAAGGTGCATGTGTGTGTGTGGCAGGGAGAGCCATGTGTGTGTGAGTGTGTGTGGTAGGGAGAGCCGTGTGTGTGGGGGGCGTGGCAGGGAGAGCCATGTGTGTGTGGGTGGGTGGCAGGGAGAGCCGTGTGTGTGTGTGTGTGTGTGTGTGTGTGGGTGGCAGGGAGAGCCATGTGTGTGTGTGTGTGTGTGTGTGTGTATGGCAGAGAGAGCCGTGTGTGGGTGAAGGGCAGGGAAAGCCATGTATATGGGTGGCAGGGAGAACCGTGTGTGTGGATGGCAGGGAGAGCCATGTGTGTGGGTGGCAGGGAGAGCCGTGTGTGTGGGTGGCAGGGAGAGTCGTGTGTGTGGGGGTGGCAGGGAAAGCCAGGTGTCTAGGCTGATGGTGTAAGACAGTAACTGAGGATCCTGAAATCAGAATGTCTTGATTCTCATTGGTTCCATTTTGAACACAAATTTATGAATATAATTATGCTGCTAAAGCTATTTATACTGTAATGAAAAGTTTTAACAATGAATGCAGTTGAAATGCATTTTTTCCGAGAAGTAAAAAGAAGCTTGGTCACTTTCTCTTGGTGAAAGACAAATCCATTGGGCAAGTCCTATTTCCCCAGAGTGCCTTGTTGCCACTAACCAGACCCAGTCCCACATGATGGAATATATGGTGGAGAAATAGGCCTGGAAGGTACCAAACCTGCAGAGTTCATGGGCCATGGGATAAAACCAATGCTGGTTAAGTTTCACAAGCCTGCAAAGAAGCCAAGATAGATGGGCTACAGTGCATGGTTGCATGATCTGAAGAATAGGGCACCAGAAGGTGAATGACAGGACTCTTGAAGATACCACAACTAGGAAGAGGACTAATGTTCAAACTTCAAATGAACCATGGCCCACACCCAAGTATGGTTCTAATCTCATAACAACAACAAAACATCCCACCAAGCTTGTGGACCAGGATGGCAGTGAAGTGGGAACATGTGAAGAACCAGGACATCAGAGCCTCCATAAGCATCAGAAGGCACAATGCAAAACGCTTCAGGAATTTATATCAAAATGGGAAGAAGGATAAAGAAGCTACCTAACCAGAGATAACTACTGTACCCACAGGCTTTGATATAAAAAACAAAAAATGCACTCATCAGAGCACATTGCCACCTAAAGAGGAGGAGGGAACAGCCGACATGCCCAGCCAAGGAGTAGTTTCAGAGGTCAAGAGTGCGTGACAAAGAAGGCCATCCAACTCTGAGAGGAAGTGGCAAATCCCCCACAACAAATGGTAAGTCAATGGATTCTGTCAAGGCTTGGGCTTGAGTCCATGGAACATGTCTCGATGAGAAGCAGAAAACTCACCCTCAGCAGCACAGAGAGACACCTGTGGGGTCAAATGAACACAACCCTCTTTGAAGTTCCAGTAAGGGGCTGTAGCTTAGGAAAAATGAAAGTCATTCTGTCCCTGGACAGAGGTGGCAAGACCCTGAGAGGAAGTGGACTTGCCTAAGGGAATGACCAAGCAATTTAGGTTCGGAAAAATACTCTTGGTACTGAAAACTGGCAATTAAGTTGCCAAACCAAGATTATGAATTGAGGGCTTCAAACCCAAATGAGCAGATATGGAAGTCTACAATAGTCTATAAAGAAAAAATGAAGTACTGTATTCTATAAAGTCTATAATGTAAAAATGAAGTACTGTATTTTATTTTCCTACATATTTCTGCATTTTAGCCTCCAAGCATTCCTCATTGCTGTGAAGAATGTAAATAAGCCATGGATAGCTGGAAGAGCTGCTCTTGTCCTTGCCAAAATATCAAGGTCGTCATCTCGCATACGGAAGGATCGGCAAATGGGTAACTGCTTCTGCTGAACACTGTCAGTATTAGTATCTGTGGGTGTCAAGGGCTGCCCATCCAGGCGGCATCCTTTTTCTTGTTGCAGGTAGCCCAGTACCCACTCATTCTCCGAAGTGCGCTGTAAAAATAAAAAATAAAAGTGTTTACTGTGCATATATTTGTATTTAAGCTATAAAGTACTGTACCCATCATATTTACAAAATAGATAAATTCAGAAGCTTGTACCTTTACTTCTTCCACTTAGCATATCTCTATGCACTCTGTGCACATGACCAAATGCCAATTCCTTAAAAGATCATATAAAAACAAATTTCAAAACTATACTGTACAGGTACTTATAATACTTCTGTAGTACTGTATAGCTTATGTGGCACAGAATAATTTATGTAAAACCTGTCACTTTCCACCACCATGGTATTCAGTCACCATGAAAAACATCTTTCTGGGTAGCATTATTTTCTTGCTGACTAAGGTAACAATTTCCAAGATAAGCTGGGAATTGTATGATTAGGAAAGTGCCAATCATCTCTTACGATAACAACCAAATGATAAGAAAAATTAATACAAATCTTAAGGAAAACAATAATACATAGCTTGAAGAAAGCTCAATACTAGGAAAATTCCTTAATGCTTTGCTTAACATACCTCTAGCTTGACATCCTGAAGTTTTTTCCAATGATCTTCAAATTCCTCAAGAGAAGGAGGAGAACTAGTAATGACAAATAACCCTTTAGTAAGCCTGGCCACATCACGAACCAGGTTCAGATCATCCTCTGGAAGGTCAGACAACAGCCAATAAACCCTTCGAGTCTGGGAGCTCTCAGCCTTGATAGCTATCAAGATCTGAAACAAGACATTTTATGTCCATGAATAAGCAAAAATGTAATAAAATAAATGGAGATAATTTTACATTGCCCACAAGAGAGTAAAATACTGTACATAAAGATTAAATTAAGGCATATAAAGCAAGATAAGAATAAGTTTAAAAATTTTACATCAGCATAGAAGCAATAAATTGCTAGAACTACCTCAGCCTGTCCTCTAGGGTTGTTATAACATCGCAAAAATGATGCACTAAATTGTCCAAACCTAATGTGACCAAGGACTAATGAATTAAAACAGGACAGGCCGTAAAGTTAACGATCTACTATGATTTATCGTATGCTTTATATACATCATATATATATATATGACATCCCCAACATCATATTTTGAATGTTGGGGATTTATAATTGAAATTGTGATGTGCTATTTGAGTGGACAGGTTGACTAGGAACCAAATTTTTTTAGTTATATTATTATTACTGTATTATAAATTTAGTGCATCTTACACACTGGCAAATACAGTACAGTAATTAGTATATGGAGGAGTGATGAATAAGTTTATAAGAAGCATACATTGCATGAATAACAGGAAGCCACATTGCAACATGAATGGTTGGATACAATAGAAAGTACCGCAATAAATATAACGATACTGTACCAATGATAGAAACAAGTTACATCACACCGAATTCCCTCATGCCAAACTTGTACTTTATAGTCTTAGTTTATCTTTAAACACATTGATTAACAAAATTTAATACTTCCTATGTATGTTATACAGTATAATATTATTTCTCCTTCCTGCATTTGATGTGTATTCTTTTATTATTTTAGTTGTGATTTTTCCATCACTAGGTGTATGTATCTCGTATATAACAAGATACAGTGTATCTCGTTACAATGAAGGAGGTACTATTTAATGTCTATAACAAATTACGCAAAGTCCAGCTTTTACGAGAAAGAGAAACAACCTGTGGTGCAGTCGACTCACAACCGAATGTAACCCAGATTTGATTCCCAGGCAAGACGAGATGTTGAGGCACGTTTAAATATCAGGCCTCAGGCTTACACCTGCAGCCTCTGTTCATCTCGCAGTAAATAAATACAGTACATGGAAATTAGTACTGTTGTAGGTTGAATTCTGGAGGTCAGTCGTTGGCCTTGGGAGAACCTCAACAAGCCTAACAAGCTTCCTGTCTCCGACAATAAGAAACCAACTACAGTAATAACTAGCAGACATTAATAAGAAATCGGCAAACAAATATATATTTCTTTCATACACTACAGGGTGTCTGTGTCATCAATTTGAAGGGTTATGCTTTAACATTAGCCATTAAGCTTGAAGAGAAAACAGTTTTCTTGCAAATTATACCCCAAAACATGGAAAAGCAGTAAGACTCCATTACCTGGTGGAGGACATGTCCACTGGCTACCACCGCCACTCCAGAAACCCGTCCGTCATTCATAGCTGCCCGCACATAGTTCCTGTATTTTAAATCCATCTGCAAATACATATTTTGTTTAGGTACAGTCACATACAGGTACATGGTGCCTGTGCATTTTGGTGCAGAGATAAGGCTGGATCATGAATAAGTTATTATATTGCAATAATTGCAATCTAGGCTACCTAACTGCCAAAATAGCAACTCATTTGCTACACTGAGTTCAAAATCCTACATCATTTACCAAGATCCTCAGGTAAAAATCGAGTAAATCAGGTAAAAATAACTATTACCCTTCTTAACAATCGGCCAACTCCTTTGGTAGGACAATCCTTCAATGTATCTTTGTATCAAAGGAATTACATAAAACCATTGTTCATCTTTACATGAACCCCTTGTTCACACCAAGCCTTGTAGTGGCTTTGTGTAAAAATAAGTACAGATGAGGACAAGTACTGTACATCAAAACATTAGCTACTGTGCCCCTCTCTAGTTTGAATTAATGACAACAGCTGGACTACAGAGTTTTATGAAATGAGCACCTATGCCGTTAGTAAATCACAACAACATGGCTGAAAATTAGACACCAAACACACAAATTTGAAATCAAAGGAATTGACGACATTTTGGTCTGTCCTGGACCATTATCAGGTCATAGAAATGACTTAATAATGGTCATAGAAATCAGGTCATAGAAATGACTTAATAATGGTCCACAGACTGAAACATCATCAATTCCGTTATTTTCAGATTTGTAAGCTGGATGTGTAATAAATACCTACATAGTACTGTACTGTATATATATACTGTCGACTTATGCTAGCATACCTCTGTAGCGCTCCGAGTATCAGGATTGTGAGACTGTGGTGGTATTCTCACTACATTACTAATGCAGATATTGTGTGTTGTTGACATCTCTGATACAACCTAATGGGTCATAAATTGCTCAACATTAATTTGAAATACTCATTATCATAAAATTAATTTTTATAGCTAAAACTTTAAAATAACTTGCACAGTTTCACAATTTTGAAGAAATAAGAAAATGGTAATAAAATAATAAATTATAATTAAGATTGTGCATGTCAGTTTAATTGCAAAAACAATTAAAATATAAACAAATACCTGTACTGTAGTGTATCAATATATACCAAGCCAAGAATTTAAAAAAATATATATAACTTTTACAAATTTTTAAGTACAGTACTGGATGATAGTTACAGTACGTATTTTATCATACTTCAACATTCAATACTTAGATTTCAATAAATTAAAAGACAACATGTCTGGCTGACCAGCTGTTAATTTCTTTACAAATGTAACTAACAGCAAAAGACCTCACAGTTGTATAGAATAAGCTCAGTCAAGGGTGGAACAACTAACCTTGCCAACGTTAAGAGGGTAGTCGTCTTCAGACACCAGTACACTTACTGCTTCCCACTGAAGCCTGCCTAAGAATTTACTTAATGCCTGGCAAGAAAAAAAAAATTATGTTATTGATATTCCGCAGCATTTTCTCAAACAAATACTGTACAAGTTAGTGTTCTGAAGCGACTAATGACATAATTATGATTCTATAATCTGAAATAGTACGGGATTTGCAATTCACACATGGCTGACCATAAGGAGGGATCTTGTAGTATATTAGGACAAAATCTTGCCCAGTTGTCTTATGAAAGATGCAGGTAAATAAATGATTAAGATTTCATTACTGTAGCAATTTTTTTGTATTCTGCCAATAGCAGGAACAGTACCCCCATCTCACCCCTTGAGGGCCTTAAAGATTAAGCTTTTCTTTAAATTGTGGCAAAATCACGTTACATTTGTAATCATATAGTGGGATCTCAAAGCTCTGGTATTTTTACCTTTTTGCAAAGTCAAGCCAAGATCTAAAAGACTACAATATCAACAATGTTGAATATAATAATACCTGGATCTATAAAATTTATATTGAAATTTAATTACAGTATATATATATATATATATATATATATATATATATATATATATATATATATATATATATATATATATATATATATATATATATATATATATATATATATATATATATATATATATATATATATATATATATATATGTCGTACCTAATAGCCAGAACGCACTTCTCAGCCTACTATTCAAGGCCTGATTTGCCTAATAAGCCAAGTTTTCATGAATTAATGTTTTTTCGTCTACCTAACCTACCTAACCTAACCTAACCTAGCTTTTTTTGGCTACCTAACCTAACCTTACCTATAAATATAGGTTAGGTTAGGTTAGGTAGGGTTGGTTAGGTTCGGTCATATAGCTACGTTAATTTTAACTCCAATAAAAAAAATTGACCTCATACATAGAGATAAGGGTTGGTTTATCATTTCATAAGAAAAAAATTATAGTAAATATATTAATTCAGGAAAACTTGGCTTATTAGGCAAATCGGGCCTTGAATAGTAGGCTGAGAAGTGAGTTCTGGCTACTAGGTACGACATATATATATATATATATATATATATATATATATATATATATATATATATATATATATATATATATATATGTTGTACCTAGTAGCCAGAATGCAGTACTCGGCCTACTATGCAAGGCCTGATTTGCCTAAGAAGCCAAGTTTTCCTGAATTTATATATTTAAAAAAAAATTCTTATAAAATTATAGAACTATCAATTTCATTATGTATGTGTTAATGTTTTTAAATTTGAGTTAAAACCAACGCAGATATATGACTGAACCTAACCAACACTACCTAACCTAACCTATCTTAATGTAACCTAAACTGACACAACTACGTCAATAATTTATGTTCTTAATATAATAAAATAATAATAATTCAAATAAACTAATTGAAAACAATTGATTGAAAATAAAGAAAATCATTCGGCCTATTAGGCAAATCGGGCCTTGCATAGTAGGCCGAGAAGCGTGTTCTGGCTACAAGGTACGGCATATATATATGGTGAAAAAAATATAAAATTGAGGGGTAATCCCTATACTATACTATATTCACTCATAAAATTTTTATTTCTGTTCTTGCTGCCATAAATAAGCTTTACTCATCAAACAGTATAATACAATGCTCATAATCCACAGCAGACTTGATAATAAAGTGCATTATAAGATATAAAATTCTGACACATGAATTAAGTGTACCTGACCTCGTCTCCTCCCCGCCCTCTCACCTCGCCTCGTTCCTCTGGTGGTATCAACTCAGGTGCGGCCACGTTCACGACCGGAACGTGATACTTCTTCAGAAGGTGCGCGAGGTTATGGTGGGTGGCGGTGACGCCTGTCAGGTCCACCACGCCCAGGGCCAAGAGGGTGTCATTACTGAGAGGGGAACAGGCAGAGGGCCCTTCTCGCACCACGGGGAACACCTCCCCGAGGCCGGCCACAGCTCGTTCCCCATGCTCGCAGGAGTCGTAGACGTGCAACCCTGAATTAAGTGGTTCAGGATAGTTAGTACTGTACTGTATAATTAGTTTAGTAATGACTCCTCATGCTTACTCTTTGAGTCATGGTGGAAATGTTTCAGTCACATTATTGGGAGCCAGTTCCTGACCGTTTATATAATAATGAACTTCGAATGTAAATAATAGGAAAATAATTGATGGGAAAATTTTCATTTTACATATAATAAAGTTACAAATTTACCAAAAAGTTCTTAGAATCAAGTAAAGAATTGTTTTATTACATGTTACAATAATATTGGTAATAAAAATAGAACATCAATAATATAATTTTACTCGAAAATTTTAATTTTTAACTAAATAAGACCAAAAATAGGTCAGAATTACCTATAATTTCATAAAATCGCATTAATAAGAAGTAAATAAATAGCGTTTTCTTACTAAAACACTACAATGAATGTAGAATCTGAATAAATATAATTTTACAAATATTACATTAACAATAATTCCCATAGAATTACCCAAACCTTCTTAGAATTTGCATTACTGTATAAAGAACAATGTGAACCTTTGACAATCCCAAGCATCTAACGAGATTACTTGAGAGCTTTGGTGGTCGTCAGGCAAATTCAGGTGAGAAAAATTTAATTATGTATCTTACTATATAATATTGATAAATTAAGTTTATTCACATTCTACATTCATTAAATTCAGAAACAAGAATTAAAATAGGTCTGGAGAGAGATACCCAAAACGTCCTAGAATTATACAATGAATTATAACATGAATTATAACAATGAATTATAATGAATTCCTTATTGTCATATTGATAATGAATTTAAAAACATGAACATTGCTAGGAAATATTTACCTGGGGGCCACCATCTCTTTCTCTAGTGGCCTTGAAGACAGGAAGCCGGCGGCTTGTCTAAGGTCCTCCCCAATTTTATAATGAAATTGAACTAAAATCAGGTCTGTAGAATTACAAAAACTAATACAAATTTCCTCATTATCAGGGAAAGAATGCCAGTCCTCACCAATTACTGACCCTCCACCAGGAAGCAACCCACAACAGTTGCCTAACTCCCGGGTACCTAGTTACTGCTAGGTGAACAGAAGCAGTAGGTGAAAGGAAACGTGCCCAACCATTTCTGTCCCGCCCGGGTATCGAACCTTACGGCCTAATGAGTTACATAACTCACAGCCTTCTGATTAACCTGATTTTACCCGAGGGCCACTAATCCTAGTGGCCTTGACGAGGTCAGGAAGCCGGCGGCTTGTCGAAGGGCCCCCTCCTCCCTCCATTTGTCTTAATGCTTTTCTTCTGCTTGTCCCCTTGTCTTGTCCACGTGTCTTAAGTGGCCATTTAATTATTTAATACCAAGATGGTTAAAAATGCAAATTGTTTTCTAATGAATACATTTTCTGTTGAATATTTCAATCAGGGCGCTTTGGCCTAATGACCTCCAATATTTCGCTGGCCACAATGCTCAGCAAGTGAAGCATGAATAAACCCACAAGGGCCGTGATGCGGGTTCGAACTTACGTCCAGGATGATCCCAGACGCGTCTTCATCGACCGCGCCGCGACATAGATAAGATCATTTGATATATCACGCTATTGTGTGTGTAAGTGGAGCATTATATGGTCATGGCGTGCACGAGGTGACGTCACTGTGACGTCATAATGATTATGCCCTGTACAGGTTTCGGACAAGACTGGAGTGAGCGAGCGTGTGTCCTAACGCTGGTTCCACTCCACTTGTTCCTTCCTAGGCGCGTGCAGTGAGGCAACGCATTCGTGCGTGCTTGACGGACGGACACACACACATGAAACAAGTTAGGTGAGAAGGTGGTAGAGGCCAAAACCGTCAGTAGTTTCAAAACGATATATGATAAAAGAGTACTGGGAAGACGGGATACCACAAGCGTAGCTCTCATCCTGTAACTACACTTAGGTAATTACACACACACAAAACACACACACACACACTTCGGTTTTAGTGTGAAAACCCAATTTTGATGAAATGGGGGATATTAGATAACCTCACACCCAGCTCTTGATGCATACACTGTAATCCCTCGTATATAGAATATAGGATAGCAGCTCACTGACGTGTACCTAGGCTTCTTAATAAAATACAAATTTATATTCGCCCCATTTTACTCTGTTTTTTAACATGTTCAACTTCTTATTTTACCCAAGGCTGGCGATGGCTTTAAACATTTAGTACAATTATAATGATCAGGAATTATTTAGTATTAGTTTCTAGCACAACGAGGTGCTTTGTTGGAATAGCTCATTTAACTAACTTAAATAGCTAATTTCCCATTAAAACACGATTAGGAAACTTAAAATACAAATTTGATTAATATATATATATATATATATATATATATATATATATATATATATATATATATATATATATATATATATATATATATATATATATATATATTATATGTGTGTATATCACGAAAACACCTCACTCCACCATTCTCTCCTGCCTATTTATGTCCAGTACTCGATCTGTAAAATCACTCCTTCTGAAGATGTATTAATATACGAAAGTACTTAAGGAAATTCCTGTTTCATTTTTCCTCCGTGGTCTGACATTGTCATATATATTATATATATATATAATTTTCCAGCAAACTCATAGAGCTTTCACTCACGTATAAAACAATTCAACACATTTATTATCACATGTCGTGCTCTGCAACAAATAAATTGCCACTCTCTCTTTCTCTTTGAACGTAAAATGGAAAATGCCTTTACAAAATTATAAAATAAACGTTTATCCATAGAATCGTTAATACTCCCAGTTAACCGACACATCAATGCAGTATTTTAAAACTAAGTAAAATAATGTAAGTTATTCACACCAGTTACTCCATCTATCATCATTCTATTATGCAGGAAGTACCGCACGTCTATGAGTCATCCAATAATGTTAGCAGACTTCTAGATGTTACCACTGCTAGGCTTAGGCTCGGCTACAAGTACCTCTGAGAATTTGTAACATCTGCTGATGTAGATTTGACTAAATATAAACTCTGTCAGCAGAACTATTCGCATACTTTGCGTCATTATATAATGGAATGTGAAAAAATCGCGGAATTTAGAGATTAACACCATCAATAGTGTCCAAGAAATGTGTAAGTACTTCATTCATAATAATGTGCTGCCCGAAATCTTAGCGAAGTATCCAAAATTTGCTTATTGTAAGTAATGCATGCACATGACTGTAAAGCTGCCGCCCAGTTGGGTGGGTGTGGAGCACATGACTGTAAAGCTGCCGCCCAGTTGGGTGGGTGTGGAGCAAGACTAGTAACTGTGTGACTCACCATAGATGTAAAGTGCCTTGTATAGTGACTGTTGTGAGCCTTTTGTTGAATCACTTGTGACAAAAGATTATTGGTGTGGGTGATTAAATATGTGTAAGTATATATGTATACGTATGTATATATGTACATGTATGAGTATGTGTACATTTATATTTAACAACCGCTAACGGGATGAGTATGGGGTGCATAATAAAGAAAGAAATTGATTGAATTGATGTACGTTATACAACCTTAGCTTATTAACAGTATTGCGTGTACAGCCTGAACCTAAACAGCCTATAGCTTTACCTAGTCAGGAAATTTAAGTATATGATATATTCATGGTTATACACAACAGTTTTCTACCACATTTCTTAACTTATTCGGCCTAGGTTAAGAGACTGACTAGAACTGTCCATTACCTGATAAAACGGCACCAAACTAAAATATATCTTGAATAAATATCACAAAACATAGTTCATTCCAAAAGTAAATAGACAAAAGGCTGCAGGCGATGAGTCACAATAACGTGGCTAAAGTATGTTGACCAGACCACACACTAGAAGGTGAAGGGACGACGACGTTTCGGTCCGTCCTGGACCATTCTCAAGTCGACGTCGTCGTCCCTTCACCTACTAGTGTGTGGTCTGGTCAACAGACAAAAGGCTTACTAAATGTGAAGCCAGGAAAGAAAGGCGTTTGTACTTACCGAACTTGATGCCGGGAACGAAGGAGTCCGTAAGTATCCTGGAGCCCAGACCTCCACCATCCAGGTTAGCACGTGCCAGGGACCACCTGAGGGCCTCGTACGCCTCCACGCCTTGGGCACGCCACCCTCCACAGCCGTACATGCCTTCCCCCGCCCGCGACGCCCCCACCACCACGCCTGAGGTCAGAGACAGGACAGGGTAGTCGAGGTGAATTGCTTTCCGTTATTACCTCCAGGTATATATGCTGATTAGCATTGTAAATGTGTGGCCACGTCTGTGGTAGAAAATAATAATAATAATAATAAAAAATTACCTCCATTAGGTCCACACGAGGTAACGGCTAGAACACACTTTCCCATCCCTTTCTCCTCTCTCGTCTTTATCTTTACTAGTAGGTGAACAGGGGCATCAGGTTAAGATTTCTCTGGGGTCAACTACTGACCTTCCCAGGGATGTAACCCAGGATAGTTCCCCGACTCCCGGGTACCTATTTACTGCTAGGTTAGCTCAAAGTTCTTTCGGGTTTTAAAGGTATCATTATAATTTTTTTAAATTTTGGCGTCATCACATTAATATAATTATTACTAATAATAATAATTCAAGAGTCGAGTTATAGTACAGTATTTTGAAATGTTCAAAAGGGGGGGGGGGGTGAATTGGCACAACATGTCATTTTTTTTTCACCAATCCCGACCTGCTCCTGTTGGACACATACCCATGAGCAATTACTGGGAAAAACTGGGTGAGGCCAGCCCCCAATCAAAAAAGTAATTTTGGGGAATCTAATTCTCAATATGCGACAAGGAAATTCCTTGAACTTAATATACTTAATTCACCTATTTTAAGACGATATTATATATATATATATATATATATATATATATATATATATATATATATATATATATATATATATATATATATATATATATATATATATAGTGTGTGTGTGTGTGTGGTTGTCTGTATACTCTCCTACTTGTTCTCTCAGCTCTTGAGAACCGCCTCTCCCGCTATCGACTGGATTAGCAGTGACGTCTTGAGTATAACTTGCCATATTTTGCCCAGAAATAAAGTACACAAAGGAAATAAATATATAATCATAATAGACATTTTAATATTAAGAGGTCAAATACTAAGGTCAGGCAGCCTCAGTATTTTACCAGCCTATTAAGTAGGCTTAGATTATACATCTAAACCACAACAGATAAAAAAAAAAGTGTTTCAGTTTATGTACTTAAAAAAATACACTTAAAAGTAAAAGCTAAACCGCAAAAACTATATTTTATTGACAAAAAGTATACCATGCGAGGCTATTGTGAGGCTTCATGCATCAATGATCTTAGGATGCAGCTTTCTAAACGACAAGCTTTTTTTAACGATATCATTTTTCAACGACAATATGTTTGCCGTGTTTTTTTTGCTTAAAGACTACCTTTGGTAATGCCTAATGTAATTAGGCATGCATGACTTAACTATCCACTAGTACACTAGTAACTATCATACATGTCTTAACTAACCACTAGTACGCGCAGCGTTTCGGGCAGTCATACTGAATTCTTATACGTATATATAGTGTTTTACCGTGAGGATTGTGGCGTCATTCACAGGTCAAAGGTCAAGCAAACATTTCCTTGAGAGGAGCCTTGGAAGATCACGCACGCACACAAAGAGAAACTTAACAATACACAAACTATAATCTCATATGTGGTTCTAACATGTTTTACTACCGCCCGCAGGATGGGTATGGAGGTTCACTACCGCTCATAGGATGGGTATGGAGTCCACTACCGCCCACAGGACGGGTATGGGGGTCCACTACCGCTTACAGGATGGGTATGGGGGTCCACTACCGCCCACAGGACGGGTATGGAATCCACTACCGCCATGGTGTCCACTACTACCATTATCGATAAGGAATATTCATAGACAGGAACCAGTATAGATAAACGAGACCAATGAAATACTCCTGATATCCGCCAATAGAAAACGAGAGGGGGAAGTAATCGCTGGTTTGAGTACTTTCCTTTTCTGGAAGGAAAGTAATCCTCACATTTTGGGGAGTACCTCCCCGGGGTACTGGAGTACATCTTCCTACTCTAGTAGATTACACCATAATGCCTGACATTACAACTCGCCAGAGTAGCGAGGCGCAGGAGAATGATCCAATATCGACACATTATGCACAATACCTGCCTAAATAACTGGGGCGACTAAATGAAATGTCTGGCTTGGACAGAACGGTAAATGCTCAACATTCATAGGTTTAGGATTGCACGGTCGTCGTTTTCTCCAATTTTGCAAGGACATTGACAGAGATGGGAGGAAGAGAGGTTAAATTAATATAGTCCATTAAGGAAAGAGAGAGAGAGAGGGTGGAGGGATTTACTGTGAACAGCGTGACTGGAAAGAGATTTCCGTGAGATAGAAAGACTTGTGTGAGGACGAGGGAGAGCCGGTGAGGAGGTAGCCTAGTACGGTGCTGGGTAGTGTGGAGGACGGACACAAGGTCGACACCACCTCAACTTTCCCACATCCACCACCACCAAGATGAAAGTGGATAAGAGCAACGAGTTAAAGAAGGGAATGGAGTCGGAAACGAATACGTACTCGGCTGGTTGAGGTGGTTGAGCTTCGACTCTTTGGTCCCGCTTCTCAACCCCTCTAATAACTGGTATACAGGTTCCTGAGCCTATTGGGCTCTATCATGTCTACATTTGAAGCTGTGTATGAAGTCTGCCTCCACCACATCACTGTCTACTCTATTGCATTCTATTTGTTAACTACTCTGACACTGAAAAAGTTCTTTGACTTCACTGTGGCTGATTTAGGTACCCAGTTTCCACCTGTGTCCCCTTTATTCGTGTACCACCCTTGCTATATAGTCTTATTATCTAACCCTGTCAATTCTTATGAGAATTTTTTAGGTGGTAATCATGTCTCTTCTAACTCCTCTGTCTTCCATTGACTTTAGGTTTAATTCCAGAAGCCTTGAAAACCTTTGAAATTTCTCTAACTTTGTCTTGTGTTTGACTAGATAAGGTCTCCACGTTAGAGCCGCATACTCCAGGATTCGTCTGACATATGTAGTATGCAAAGTTCTGAATTCCTACACAAGTTTCTAAAACCAGTTCTTAAGTTGCCCAGCCTCGCATACGCCGCTGATGTTGTCTAATTGATGTGGGCTTCAAGAGACAGATGCGGCACGATATGAACCCCCAGATCTTTCCCTGTACCCGATTCTTGAAGGCTTTCATCTTCCAATTGGTAGCTTGTGTCCAGCGTCCTGCTCTCTACATCTTTTTTCATTACCTTACACTTATTTGAGTTAAACTCTAGTAGCCATTTGTTGGACATACGTACACGTGTGTGTGTACACGAGTGGGTCCATGTACACGCAGTAAAAAAAGTATGAATGATCCCAACGCTTTGACACGACATTGGAGAACCTTATGTATACTAAAACACTAGGCTATCTACACTTACAATTATAGAAGATGACCTAAACCGTTTTTAACTATCTCAATGCTGCCAGAAAAAAAATATGTTGGTCACATACAACCTTTGGTAAAAGGTACTTTAAAAAAATATTTTTAGGTATCCCATATAAAAAATATTTAAAAGGTACTTTATTTTTTTTAGGTTTCCTTGGAGAGTCCCAGACAGCTGAGTGGACAGCGCTTCGGATTCGTAGTCTGAGGTTCCGGATTCGATCCCCGGTGGAGGCGGAAACAAATGGCCAGAGTTTCTTTCACCCTGATGCCTCCTGTTCACCTAGCAGTAAATAGGTACCTGGGAGTTAGATAGCGGCTACGGGCTGCTTCCTGGGGGATGTGTAACAAAAAGGAGGCCTGGTCGAGGACCGGGCCGCGGGGACGCTACGCCCCGAAATCATCAAGATAACCTCATGATAACCTCCCATGCTATAAAAGCAGTAGAGCACCTCTCTCTCTCTCTCTCTGTCTCTCTCTCTCTGTGTTAGCCGGTGAGGGTATGTGACTGTACTCCGGAAACTAGTTCAAGCCGAAGGTCGAAGATCACGTATGTGGGAGAGGGTGGGAGACGGGAGCGCTGGGAGGGAGAGTAGTGCAGGGACTGTGGAAAAGGTTAGGGTAAATAGGCAGGGTGCTCACCTAGTTGTATTAGCGGGGGACGAACCTCGGCTCTGCAGTTCCGCCTCTCAACACGATACAGTATGAAGCTTGCTTTAAATGTAGATATGACAGTAGGGAGGTTATCTTGAGATGATTTCGGGGATTAGCGTCCCCGCGGCCCGGTCCTCTACCAGGCCTCCTTTTTGTTACACTCCCCAGGGAAGCAGCCCGTAGCAGCTGTCTAACTCCCAGGTACCTATTTTACTGCTAGGTGAACTGGGGCATCAGGGTGAAACTCTGCCCATTTATTTCCGCCTCCAACGGGGATCGAACCCGGAACTTCAGGACTACGAAATCGAGGCGTTGTCCACTCAGCTGTCAGTCCTCCTCAAGGAGGAGGAAGGGACGTTACAACTATAAAGGGACGTTACAACTCAGGATAAAGCGCTAAATCATTACAACTATATATCACTTGGAAGGGGTCAGGGAAAGGATTTGGGCTGGGACGGGTGGAAGGGGAAAGGAATGGTGCCCAACCACATGGATGGTCGGGGATTGAACGCTGACCTGCAGGAAGCAAAGACCGTCGCTTTATCGTCTAGCCCAAGTGGTTTGACAACAGATATGACAGCTCAAGATAGGCCCTAGAACAAGTGGAAGGAGTTAGAAAGATGGTGATCTTAGAGGGGGGAGGAGACGGTAACTTAGGAGTACTTGAGAAGGAATGGGATTCTAGCCCCGCTCCTGTGCCAGGTAAGTCCACTACGGGCTCACCATAGCCCGTGCTACTTGGAATGTTTTCTTCCCAGTAGCTGAATCTTTAACAACAGGAATGGGCTTTGGATAAGGATTAGTGGAGGGATCTGGAAGGTGTTAAAAGTGGGTATGCATGCATGCATGTATGTATGTATGTATGTATGTATGTATGTATGTATGTATGTATGTATGTATGTATGTATGTATGTATGTGGGGGGAGTTACTACAGGTCATATACATCAATGTTTACAGCACTTATAAACCTTTTCCCCTTTATGTCGAGAGGTCAAAATACCTCTGCAGTATGTATGTCTACTCGCCAAGCTGTGATTACAGGGCCTAAGCTTCAGCTCTGGGTCTCGCCTCTTAATCTCCGCTCAACTGACACAACGAGAACTTCCAGGTCTTAGAGAAAGGTTAAAGAGCAACCGCCGTGTGAACACAAAGGCCAGAAGATCCTTATATTAATGTCAAGGTGATTGGATGAGACGGCAAGGTGGCGGGGAAGAAGGGAGGGGAATAAAAAGGAGAGAAACGAGAAACTGAAGGGAGAGGAGTCAATGTAAAGGAGAGGGTGGAAAAAAATTCAAAGGGGAAAAGGGAAAATTTCAGGATAAAAAGGGAAAATTTCAGGGTAGAAAAGGGGAAAATTCAGGGTAGAAAAGGAAACATTTCAGGATAGAAAGGAAAAATTTCAGGATGAAAAGGGAAAATTTCAGGATGAAAAGGGAAAATTTCAGGGTAAAAAGGGAAAATTTCAGGATAAAAAAGGGAAAATTTCAGGATAAAAGGGAAAATTTCAGGATAAAAAGGGAAAATTTCAGGATAAAAAGGGAAAATTTCAGGATAAAAAGGGAAAATTTCAGGATAAAAAGGGAAAATTTCAGGATAAAAAGGGAAAATTTCAGGATAGAAAGGAAAAATTTCAGGATGAAAAGGGAAAATTTCAGGGTAGAAAAGGGGAAAATTCAGGGTAGAAAAGGAAACATTTCAGGATAAAAAAAAGGGAAAATTTCAGAGTAGAAAAGATAAAATTTCAGGATAGAAAGGAGAAAATTTCAGGGTAGAAAAGAAAAATGTGATAGAAAATAACACAAATATTCATATATCAGAGGATATGGAAGTGGGATGATTTACCCACTTTCCAGCCTGTCTGTCTGTCAGAAGCAGACAGACAGGCAGACAATTATATAAAACCAGCAGACTTCTAGATGTTACTACTGCTCGGCTTAGACTCGGTTACAAGTATCTCTGGGAATTCTCATTATCTGCTGATGTAGACCTGACCAAATGTAAACTGTGTCAACAAAATTATTCGCACACCCTCCGTCACTATGTGACGGAGTGCGAAAAGATACGTGCATTTAGAGACAATTCCATAACAAATGTTCCAAAGATGTGTAAATACTTCATTCAAAATTATCTGCTGTCAGAAATCTTAGCCAAATATCCTCAGTTTACTAACTGTAGATAGTAACTGGGTGATTGTAACCTATCCACCGCTGCCCACTGGATGGGGGGCGGTGTGCAGGACAAACATATCAATTGTGACACTAGCTCTCCACATATGTCAGCTGCTTAAGTTAGAAACTGTACTTGTGGTCGATCTCGAACCCAATGATGATGTGAGGATGTCTACTGAATTTTGTAACTAGCTCATCAAGATTGTAACTTGCTTAGCTAAATGAATTGTGGGGTTCAGTCCCTGAGTCCACTATGTGCCTCTGTAACCCTTTCCACTACCGCCCACAAGATGGGTATGGGGTGCATGATAAATAAACTAAACTGGTCGGCAGGGAGAGGGGAAGATAAGGGTGAGAGAGAGATAGGAGTGAGAGAAAGAGAGGGACAAGGCTATCCAATACCATTCCCTCCTGTATCCATTCTCGGACGCTCTCTCTCATTAACACACACTTGTATAAATCTTGCTCAAGCTTCCATACTCACCAATATAAGCCTGGGCCTGGGTATTGAGTGTGACCTGATGAGGCTTGCCGTCACACGTGCCCATCGCCAGGGCATGACCCCCACAGCCCACCCCCACCCCAAGCACCACAGCCACCCCCACCAGGAGGGGGCAGGGGGCGTGGGGGGAAAGCCACCACCCGCCCATGACTGGCTGCTGGCCTACGTAGCTGATCTGAAATGAGACAAAAAATATTGGAAGTTAGGCTTTTATTATATTATTAAAAGATGTATATTATATAAACAAATCGTGAATATATATTATATAAAAAAACAAAATTAAATCGGCATGTTTTGGTCAATCGTAGCTTGACAATGAGTTGATTTTCTTTATTTAACACGCTTTTACCCGTCTTTAATGACAAATGAGTTGTGTAGTGGGAACTGGTGCAGGAACAGGATGTTGGCGAACAAGGCCAAGTGGTTGAAAACAATGGAACTATGCAAATACAAGACAGGTGTCCTGCCTTATCATCCTGGCCTCTCTGTTCCAGATAAGATCTGTATAACACCAGCACCAGTGGGGATAGTGTCTTAACTACCCTCACTACCAGTGCCCTATGCCCACCTGGCATAGGATGATGACTTTGTCCACGCAATGACTCGATATATCATTATGACTAAATCTTGGGATTCGAACCAGCGTTCTGGATCACTTCCAGCTGCGCGCCTTTACCCACTGGACCACGATAATTCTTGCCATATATCTGTCCCAAACGTTTTATTAAACATTATGGCAAGATATTTACCGAATTCTTTCTTGAAACACCCGCCATATATCACCAATGTTGCCATATTATCACTTACCATATATGATTATTACTCTGAACAACGTTGCCACATATATTGATCAGTAATTAATAGCACTCGCCACACTTACCAGATATCATCAAAATGTTTGTAAATTGGTAAAATATAAAGCTGTCATGATCGACGCAAGATGTTCATGTTTCGTAAACGGACACGTACAAATGTTTGCCGCGTCCTGGCCCATGGAGACTAGGGGGGACTTTCTCCGTCGTTCCCGTCCACTTATAAGCTAAACAACAGTTTAGAGTAATATTCCGAAAATTGCTAAGACGTTTATGGTCGAATTGCCACTTCGTCCACTAGTACCACCACCAGTACCACCACCACCGCCACCACCACCACCACCAGTACCACCTCCACCACCACTAGTGCCACCACCACCACTAGTGCCACCACCACTAGTGCCACCACCACCACCACCAGGGCTGAAGTGTCCCTGGAGGCTCTGGAGAAGGAAAGTCACGCTAAACAGGCGGTGAGGGGAAAGTGAACAAGGAATGACATCAATGTGGAAGAGAGGCGTGGGAAGGACAACAACGATAAGAGAAAGTGAAGAGAGAGTAGGGGTTGGGGGGGAAAAGAGGTGGGGACAGTCCTCAACTTAAAACAGTAATATTAATTTACGAACATCGCTGCTAGAAACCGTTAGAGAACGAGATAATGCAGCGTTAGAAAACGGGGGAAAGTGATGGACGCACGAGTCCCCCCTTCAGGAAGACATCCCCCTACACCTTCCCTACCCCTAGATTAACCATGTAATGTAACTATATAACCTGAGCTTGTAAAAGCATCTTAATCACCTTCAGTGGTTAAGTTCTTAATTGCACACTAGTTTCTCTTGTCAGCTCTCTCACCCTGTCAGAGTAAAAGAGACAAATATATGTGTATGTATGTGTATATATGTATGTATGTGTGTGTGTGTGTGTGTATGTGTATATGTATGTATGTGTGTGTGTATATGTGTGTGTGTGTGTGTGTGTGTGTGTGTGTGTGTGTGTGTGTGTGTGTGTATGTATGTATGTATGTATGTATGTATGTATGTGTGTGTGTGTGTGTGTGTGTGTGTGTGTGTGTGTGTATGTATGTGTATAAAGTATAAAGCTGATCAGAATTGCATTTCACCATTATAAATTCACATTAACGCATTCATAAATCTATCTATGTATTTAGGTATGTAGCTTAGCCTAACATTTTAAAAGCACTACGATCACCTTCTGTGGTTGTTCAATAAATCTCTGAACTGTATGTTTGACAAATCTTTCACCCTGTCCATGGAGGACAGAAGAAAATGTATATATGCTGGTTAGCATTGTAAATGTCTGGCCACGTCTGTGGTAGAAAAATAATAAAAAAAAATTCCCTACCAGCAGCGGAACGAGTCGATTGTATAACCCTGTGATTGACTGATGGCTGGCTGCCAACCTGAGTACCAAGAAGGTCAATCTTGGTGTCTAGATCCTTTTTTTTCTAGTGGTACTAACGCCCTGTCCGAGGAATTCTAAGCATTTCTAATAGTTTGAGGACTGAAATACTACGGAAAAAAGAGTCGAGTAACACATGCAAAAAGACACGAGGTGGCCTGGAAAAGCTTCAGGGATGGCTGTTAGATTTCAAACTAAATAAATGTAAGGTAATGAGATCAGGGAAAGGGCAACCTCGTAGCGCTTCTCAGCCCATAACAGGGAGACACCACAGCAACAGGAGCCCGTCACAGCGAGACCACAGCAACAGGAGCCCGTCACAGCGAGACCACAGCAACAGGAGCCCGTCACAGCGAGACCACAGCAACAGGAGCCCGTCACAGCGAGACCACAGCAACAGGAGCCCGTCACAGCGAGACCACAGCAACAGGAGCCCGTCACAGCCAGACCACAGCAACAGGAGCCCGTCACAGCCAGACCACAGCAACAGGAGCCCGTCACAGCCAGACCACAGCAACAGGAGCCCGTCACAGCCAGACCACAGCAGCAGGAGCCCGTCACAGCGAGACCACAGCAACAGGAGCCCGTCACAGCCAGACCACAGCAACAGGAGCCCGTCACAGCGAGACCACAGCAACAGGAGCCCGTCACAGCGAGACCACAGCAACAGGAGCCCGTCACAGCAACAGGAGCCCGTCACAGCGAGACCACAGCAACAGGAGCCCGTCACAGCCAGACCACAGCAACAGGAGCCCGTCACAGCGAGACCACAGCAACAGGAGCCCGTCACAGCAACAGGAGCCCACCACAGCGAGAGACCACAGCAACACGGAGTGACAACAACAGAAACTCACCGCCGCCGCAAGGAGAGAGAACGCTCCCAACAGGAGGAACGGGAGGTGCAAACAGCTTGTACAAAGTGGAGAATGACTGCGCGTATCACAGACGCCCTCCACGGCTATTACAGTTTAGGTGTCAATTGCCAACACTTGTTCACTAATCCCGCCTCCACACCCCCCACGCGCGCGAGCCTACTCTACGCTAGCATCTTCTTGAGGTTATCTTGAGATGATTTTGGGGCTTAGCGTCCTCGCGGCCCGGTCCTCGACCAGGCCACATTTTTGTTAAACACCCCCAGGAAGCAGCCTGTAGCAGCTGTCTAACTCCCAGGTACCTAAACTGGGGGGGGGGGGCCAATTAGGGTGAAAGAAACTCTGCCCATTTGTTTCCAGATCCGGTCGGCCGAGCGGACAGCACACTGTACTTGTGATCCTGTGGTCCTGGGTTCGATCCCAGGCGCCGGCGAGAAACAATGGGCAAAGTTTCTTTCACCCTATGCCCCTGTTACCTAGCAGTAAAATAGGTACCTGGGTGTTAGTCAGCTGTCACGGGCTGCTTCCTAGGGGTGGAGGCCTGGTCGAGGACCGGGCCGCGGACACTAAAAGCCCCGAAATCATCTCAAGATAACCTCAAGATAACCCTATGGGTGAAAAAGCATCAGCTGTTGTCTGTCCTACATCGTGTCCTGTTGAGCATGAGGCCAGTGCTCCAATGTTTGTCTTACATCTGATCTTTTAAAGGTCTGGATTAATATCCTTCAAACTAGTCAGTATTTAAAAAAAAAGTTTCAATGAGATTAGCCCTGTCAGGTCTGATTTGTAATGTTGTTTAGCCCTGTGGCCCTCAACCGTCGCTGGTATGGGACTCTACTTGAGAATGGTCCAGGACGGACCGAAACGTCGTCGTCCCTTCACTTTCTAGTGTGTGGTCTGGTCAACATATTACAGCCACGTTATTGTGACTCCTCGTCTGCTTCTGGGATGATTTTTATTGCTCGGTGTTGCACTTAATCCAAAGCATCTATGGAGGAACTATAGAGGCGTTATACATGCCAAGGCTGGATGATAGAGGGTAAAGAGGAGATATGATCACTACGTACAAAATAATGCCATGCTTCGACACCTGACAAGGATGAAATTGGAAACTTGCAACTTCTAGAAAAAGAAACCACAGATTAAGGCATCAAAGATGTCGACAACTGTATGAACGTTTAAAAGATGCTCATCAAGATGTTCATAGGCGTTCATAACGTTCACAACGCCAAAAGATTGTTCAGGAATGTTCAAGAAATTCCTCAAGCTGGCGACCTCCAGAGTTGCAAGCTGCTCCTGTAGTGAAACTTAATTTGCAACTTGACAAGTGAAGCTTGGCCCGTTAAGGCTACAAGGTGAACTGCCTGCTGACCACTGTTGCACAGGTCACCCACCACCACTACTGCAACACACACACACGCGCGCGCGTGCGCTTGGGGGTGTGCGTGTGTAGGGAGGGGGGGGAACAAAAATAGTAGTAACAGTTGATTGACAGTTGAGAGTCGAGTCGAAAGAGCAAAGCTCAACCCCCTGCAAGCATAAATAGGTTAAAACACACACACGCAGATTGGTTAGATAAGCGGGGGTCCCAGAGCTAATAGCTCGATTCTTCGCGAGTGAGAGACATGATTTGCCCAATCTTATCTGTTGTATTAGGACGCTTGCGAAGGGCGTGTCCTCAAACTACGCGGTCTCGGGTAGCCTATAGAAAGGTCAAAGCAATAAACACACACTATCTATCTCTATCTATCTATCTATCTATCTATCTCTCTCCTGGACAAAACAATGTAGGTTCAACACCTCACTTCACCTCTGACGTTCACCTCTGCCCTTATTAACGTAACCAAGTCTTCTCTAACCACATGAGGAAAATGATTAAACTCGTATATTCAAACCCTCGACAGATTACCACAGACTTGTTGGGCTACGTTAACTACGGAAGGTTATTCAGACAACAGCAGCAGCTTACGGACCAATTAGCAGGAACACTTTAGTCCTCAACACAGTCCTGGACTAATGTAAGCGCTCAGTGTATGAACACCAAGAAGTTGCTCACACGTTTAAGTGATATA